ATAGGTCTCGTTTCGCAAGTTTCACTTCAAAAATGCACTAAAAAGCAACAGAGATGTACTTATATCTGTCATCCGCTATTGTTTTGTTCAAAATATGAACACACCAAGTGCAAGTCAACTACTCTTCTTTTCTTTGATGTATTTCTCAAATTTTGAAAGCATCCCAGTAAATTCTCGACGCTCCTCTATCTGAAGAAACGTGTCACTAGCGTTAACTTACGACAGCTTTGATATGTTGCTTTCACAAGTACTGATTAACTGCGGAGAACGTCTAAAAAAGCCTTGTTCATTAGTACCCATTATTGATACGGCTTGTAACAGCTGCTTCGCAAGAAACACACAATACGAGACTATTTAACTGAGAGATACTGACGAGGGCGATACTACCCGTATAGCTCAACTCAAAAATGCTTAGGGACCCAAGATATTGTAGTTACAGTTGACTCCTAAAATAGGTGACCATTTTCAACAGTTTTCGACGAAATAAACAATAAATACGTTTGAAAGACGGTAAAAAGCAGTCAGAATAGCCAAATGTTACATTTAAAATCACCATACCTCTTTGCAAACCACGTATAACAAAACTACGTAAAGGTATGCACAAGATCAGCTACCTTGGGGAAATCTAAAACCCGATTGATCGCCAATTAATTAAATTAAATTAATTCCCACCCATGCAGATAGGCCGGTAGCTCATTCGCAAGTTGCTCTTCATTGAAAAGCACGCTTCCTGTTCTATGTGCTGTTCGGAGAGGTAATGCCCATATTATTCGGAATGCCGTCTATAAATACGTTCTAGCAAACTGAATCACTCTAGGTTACCGTAAACCATAGCGACCAAGTGGACGGACGCTATGACTTTGGTCAGCGAATTAGATGAGCTCATAGCAAATCGGTGAAAATATAGATAAAGTGCACTAATTACGCTACCAATTCCATCAAGAGGTAGTAATTGAGTATGGTAGGGATAATAGGCTTGTAGGAAGTTTACATATGTGGAGTTATTTCTTTATGGATGTATAAGTCCGCTGTTAGTGGATATATGTACAGATATGCAATCTGTTGCCAAGAAAATCAGTTCGAGAAGATATGCTATTCACTTTTTAGGTCCATGAGTGCTGTAGACTAGTGAGTGGGTCACGAAACGACATCGTTTTTGGTTACCTGGATGGATCGCTGTAAAGAAATGGACTTGGACTATCATACAGGGCACCAATTAGGGATTAAGAGGTTTCTTCAGATGCGTACAAAGACGTTTTTCTTGTTCACTTGATCAAGCTAATTACATCCGTTTTTCAGGTAGTTTCACTTCAGGTCGCCACAGTTTCGTGCAACCCTTATTAGTTGGCTTAAAAATCTACACAAGGAAATGAAAATATATTTAAATATTGACTGCATTGAAGTGAATATCTGACGAGAAATATGCGCCTATTAGTCAGAATAACCTATTTACCTTAAAATCGTTAAATGAATCATTAAACGACTGAAACAGCAACTCATACGCTGACGAAATCCGATTCTCCATATTTCGAATGATGCTGAGTATCTCTATCTCGGTTTAACAGTAAAGGGATGAAACCATTAGACAACGGGGTTGATGAAATATATCGATAAGTATAGTTAGTTTAAACATCTAAGTGAACTACTGATTTCATTTTTCATGAAATAATACTTAAGAATGATAATGGTTCTGATTGAGGAAATATCTCCCTATTACAGTTTAAATAACTCTTGTCGACTTTCTGGCGAACTTCACCACTGACTGAATATCACTTCCTGTTCTTTACGCCTATTACATTTCATACGCAATCCCTAAGCTTGACAGAGGACACAAAAAGAAATCTCTTAATAGAACCAACAGTCTGTTTAACATTCAACTCTATCTAAAGTACGGCTGCTTTACAGGTTCTTTAGTTGCGTTTCATAATGAATCGCTTATAAGTGAACACGATTTTGCAGGTGACATTTAGCTTGTTTCGTTAAATAACAACACCTATGCGAAACTGGAACAAACCTTTGCTACAAAACATGTCCCAGTCTCCCAGAGGTATTGATATTTGACATGGCCAACAGGTTCCCATACATAAATTCATTTTGAAATATCAGCTATCTGATTATTTTTACCGTTGAACCCTGTGTTCAGTTTCTCGTCTTTAAAATCCATCTAAGACTGTCACACAATCAGTGAGAATCTGGCTCCAGCATATAAGCTTTGTTGATACTAGCTCGTATGAAGCAATTTGGACATTCGGTTTTTAGTGGGTGGGAAATATGTATATACATATCATTCATATCATTCTTCATATTCAGTCAGCTGACTGTTGTTACGTTTACTTATTTCTTTTTCTGTCTGTCACTCTGAATGAATTCACTAATTATATCTATTATTATTATCTCTTTTCTTTTGATGACGATACCAGAGGACTAACTGGTGAGAGGATCAACTCCATTCACAACAGTAACAGTCTTAACTCACCTCATACTACAAACCACATATAATTAATCCCAGCACTACTCCCTTTGGAGTCAACCAAAGCTACGCAGTCGAGTGGCGAGACGAGCTATGCAGAAGTCTACTGAAGATCAGGAACCTATGCCTCACAATCAAGAGGTGAGCATAAAGAAATCAAATTGGTTTATACTGGCCCGTAAAAACGATATTGGATATTGGAAGGAATCCCGCTTAATTTAAATGTTTGGTAAATATTTGTTTCCTTGGGTTGTCATTAATGAATGACAGCTAGTTATAGATGAAATGTAGACTTCGAGGTAGCTGAAGTTATACTGAGCAGTACATTGGTCTGATATTAATTTTAATGATCTTAAAATAAGCACTGGTAAATCCAATATCCAATGAATGTAGTGTGGCTGCATCATTTTCCTTGAAATACTCTGGGAATATTTTAGTGAAACCTGGTAAATAATATTGCAATCATGAACAGAATATACTTGGTGGAGTGTTACGTTATTAGGTAGGGTATCGGGGAAGTTTCAGTTTAGGTTTTGTGAATATTAAGTTAAGGTTGATGCTGAGGACAGGTTAGGGTTTGGTTAATTTATTGAGCGCGACATTCGAGTTAGTGTGAGTTAGATTAGGGTTAGTTTAGGGATATTTTCACGTTATGTTTAGGTTTAGGAAAGATTAGGGCTTTTGGTTGGGTTAGAAGACCTAGATAATAATCTACACAGAATGTGGTTGAATTTCTCTGTTGGCACTCTAATCTAAAACTGACAGGTATTTTTGTCACACGTTAGGGAAGGATATCCTGTTTAATACTTTCTTGACTTTTAATTAATTATTTTATGACTATATATATATATATTTTATACTCAAAAGTCGCCTTTGTCATGTGGTTGTTGCGTCTAAGATCATTTGTCCGTTACTTACTGGTTCTTAAAGTTTTACTTTGGCGATTATTTCATACCATTTCATCATGTTATTAAATGACGTATACATATTTGTCATACAATGGTTTTTATAGATCGGTTTCTGTCCGAATCTCACTTACAGTTTGCTTTTCATACTTCCTGTTGCCATATATTTCTCCTGGGTCTCTGCTGTTTGAAAATTAGCTTCATTCGATCAGCCGTAAGGTGTATATGCTTGTGTTAATTCATCTCCGTCAGAAATTACTTGAAGCTTTTGGTTCAGGTCTTTGACTAAGTGTATTTTTGAGAACCTACATTCTCTTTCTATATTCATTTTTGAATGACCCAGTGCATCAGTTGATTCCCCGAATTGTTTCGGGCAAAGTCAGAGAGTATTATTTGAACAATAGTTTGCTTAGGGGTAGCACACATATATTATGGATGTATTTCGCAGCCAGTTTAATGCAGGGTTACTGAGGTCGCCAATTAACTGGATAATTGTACCCTCAGTATAAGAGGAAGATATATATATATATATACTGGGAGGAAAGCAGGATTTATATTTTTCTCTAGAGACGTTTTAATTTATCAGACAGCATTTTGCCCCTGCTTAAATTGCAACCGGAAAAGTTATTAAAGTCATTTACACCGTATGTTTTCTTCAAGTACTGCGGTCAAAATTATTCTACGACAGTTAACGATACTGCTACAATTCTCAAGCTGATATATGTGTTGGCTAAGATTCTACTCTAGGACCCACTAGTTGAAGCCCAATCATTAAAGTCAATATATAACACCACTAAAATTGTGAAAGTGTAGTGCAGGAGTATGAGCACGGAAACGTTTACTCTTGTAGGTTAAATCATATGTAGAAATAGAAGTTAAGCGATTCAATGTGCTTTGTTAGTTAACGACACAGTAATCGCGATACGAATAGATAATTGCCAGAGGAAAGAAATCAGGCGTAGATTCTCACTGCATTTACTGTACGCATGTGGAAAATCTTAGAGACACTTTCATCGAAAATTAGAGAGAATATACACATAAGAAAAATTTTGCTCATACTCACAAGTGCCGTGGATATGGTTAAATGTCTTTTGTTTACATTCGGATAATTAGGTAATCTGTGCTTTCTGAAAATGTATTTATAATATGTGAAGTTATATATGTAAGTGAAGAGTGGCATATTGTTTGTCTGCATTTCGATATATATATATATATATGTCTGGGTGCGTCGGCAACCACTCACGGCGTTCTGTGTTTGACTCCCGACCGACGCATTCCAGTAACAAGACTGGTTAGGAGGGAAGGTTGGGCATGAGACTAGCAACCCCATTCCATAAAAGTAAACACCACCGCTACAAAAACTTGAGTCATATAGCTTGAAGCCCTGTGTTCCTCTGGGAATTTACACAAATGAAGAGGATACATATATCTGGGATACATTTTTCACTGTAGAGGGAATTCTGTCGTATTCATATTCTGCCTTATCGAACAGCGTTTCAATTATAGACTTTTCATGTTTTAAACCGTGTCCAGTTTGCATACCTTTTTCTCTAGTCGTTAAAATCCGGGTCACCCAGGGAATGGTCATCCTATATAAATCAAATTGCTGTTTTTTTTGTAGCATAATGGATACATCTGCAACTGACCTTTGCTCTCAAATACATCTTAAAGTTGAGCAATCAGATGATCTGGCATCGAAGTCATTAGAGAAATATGATATGAAGAGAGATGAAAATGTGGAAATGGAAAATCATAGTAAAGGTAAGGAGGAGGCGTTATCTCCTATTTATTAATTGTATAATATGATACTGTTATTTTTGAATACGGTGGAATGGAAGGCCACACATGAAGATAAAACGTCTGATTACTGTTGACTGACTAACATTAACTTCAAACTTTGTGCAAAACTGCATTACTTTAAATCACTACACTTCCTAAAAGCACAAATTAAAGTAGGGAGAAGAAATGTGGTGAAACTATAGTAGACAAAGATACGCAGGAGGAAGGATGTAGGACCTAGTTGGTGATGGGGAGTAAAGACATTTGCGATATTGTAAACGACTCTGAGTAATTTCATCAAGTCTCCAACTGTAGACTTTAAATATCCTTGGGATGTCTATTACAGTTCTCTACGTGGCTCAGATCATCAGTTAGTGAAATGGGTTGATGCAGTGTTGTTCTTGTTTGTGTTGTTGTATGACTACCGCTAGTTCTCTGGTAACGTGGTCTTATATCAACTGAAATTACTGTTCAGTGAGGCGGTATTTTGACGTTCATAGCACATGTACTCATTTCAATCGAGCTTGACAACAATATGGATTAATCTTACCCCGTTATCTAACACTTCACTGTTAACCTCATTATTGACTCATTGGTACATAAGAAGTTATATAAATAGTTAGAATTGTTCTCGGAAAACAATTCCGTATGGGATTTTTGAAAGGTTACTGTTGTGTAATTAAATAGCAGTATGTTGTATGCTTTTTAACGTGTATATTTTGTTGATGAATCAGGTTATTTTGTTTTCCGTGATTGCAACACATAACTGGCTTTATTCGCTATGTGTTACATGTTATTTTGTAGCTAATTCACTTAAACTGAAAAGGTATTTGCATTATGAATTCGTGTGTTTAGTTCCTCTCGTTCCAAGTGGGATGTAAGGCCTTATGCATGAACATTTAATAAGAGTTAGGATTTTCTATAGTTGGTTTTGTAAGGATTAGCTTTGTTCTTTTACGAGTTGATCACGGATTAATATCAGCCAGAGAGCCATTAAAAACCAGAGAGTACTAGATAGCTCTTTCATCCTAGTTTTGGAATCATCGTCTGTCTCTCTGTGTGTCTGTTTTCGACATAGAACATTGGAGCAAATGTGCGACAGTTCAAGTCGCCACACCATCTAGCACACAAAGCAAGAGAAGAAAGTAGAAGAAATGCATAATAGAGACAGGAAACAGAGGTGTGAGACAAAGGAAGAGTAATAACGAAGAACAATAGAGTTTCACTGGAAATCATAAGTCACAAGGAGTGGATGCATCTTCGCCAGCCATTGAGAATGATCACTTTGAGCCATATCACCAATTGTTTCAGCCATTGGTTTTTACCTTCCAGAGGACTCCAACCAGGAAGTCTACATCTTTCTACGTGGCTTAAACTAACTGTTGTGGATTTCATTGACTGGTGTAGCCACGTATAGGACTGACCGCCAGCGTGACCCTATGTCAGATAACACAGCCCGTCGAGGAAGGCGATGACTAGGCATACGTAACACATACCCGAACCGTCTCGGTCACTACGCACTCACCGACAGGGTTCAAACACAGGACCTTCAGGTTACCAGGAAAGCTGGCTCGTACACCATTCAGCTACTGGGACCCAAATCAATAACGCATGAGTTGGTAGAAGTTAGAATTCATGAGCCATTGAATCGAGTCCCAGTGGCTGAATGGTTTACGAACCAGCTTTCCTTGTAACCGGAAGGTTCTGGTTACGAACCTTGGCGGTGTGTGTGTGTACTGACGATGATTCCCTAACTAGGATGAAACAGCTGTCCAGAGTAAGGATTGTCAGCGTCACCCCCAACCTCTGTTCTTTTTCGGAATTGCTAGCGGCTGTGATGGGAACTTTAATCAGGTGAATTTTATGCAAAACTCCATGTTGTGCATCTACTCATTAAATTCATATTGTAGCGTGTGGTACTGATAAGATATCCTAGTAGTGTGTAAAGACGTTCGTGTGCATAAAACATGAAATATGAGGCGGATGAGGGTAGATTTAAGGTCAGAGAAGACAAATGATTCAGCGTTGTGGAGAAACATGGGAGATGTGAAAGGAAGACAAAGAAAGACATTATGAAAGGTGGCCAGAAGTAGCACAACACAGAAGATCTGTGGAAATGGTGCATTGAAGATAAGGTGTACATAATTTCGCTGTATTACGATGCAGAATTGCAAATAAACTTGCCCCTGACCAAGTCTCTCGCCTTATACCGTTACAATATGATAGTGTACTTATATCCGTCATATTTCAAAAAAATAAATCCTGTTGCTATTATTTTCTAGTTGAAGGCAATCCTGAACAGATTAGTGAATGTGGTATCATCAACAGCAATGACAATATTAATAACAACAATACCTGTAGTAACGATGTTGATGTTGTTGTGGTTAAGAAACGAAATCCAAAAGGACGAAATTCCCCTAAAGGTGAGTACATTGAGACATTCTGTTAAACTTTAATTGTAATCAAACGGATTTTGAAAATGATAAGTTTTGCTACAAATTGATAGGTAGTGAAGAGCTGTTGACAAATAGATGGCACTAGACAGTTCCTTCGTCTTAGTTTGGGAATTAAGAGCATTTCTCATAGATGATGGCATTGCAGATTGAACTTGGGACCGTCAAGTTTCTTCATTTTTTTTTCTTATTTCTTTACATTCCCAGAGGAGCACAGTGTTTCAAGCTGGAGACATGAAATTTCAGTGGCAGTGGTATTTATTTGTACGGGTGGGGTTGCTAGCCTCATGCCAAACCTTCCCTCTTTACCAGTCCTATTACTGGCTCATCAAGGTAAAGGAGTGCATCAGACGGGGACTGAAACCCGAACCACGTGAGGTGTGGTTGGCGAGCATCCTACCGGTGTGCTACCGACGCACTTGCATTAACATATCGTCTTTTTTTACCGCGTCCGTGTCCCGTGGTTCATTTTTTTATAATTTACTCACAGTTATTACCCTTAATTTTAATTATAAAGTCAATGAATCTTATCTGTGCTGTGATCTGAGTGAAATGCAATTCCGATTCAGGCTAAATTTAAATACCTGAGTTGAATATTAATCCAAGAATGTCTTTCAGCCTGTGAAAGGGGGAACACTAATGAGATGACTGGAAGTACTGGTGTTACAATGGTATCTTTTTATAAAACTCCACTGAAGCTGTATATACAATTAAAGTTCTAAGATGTAAATATTATAACTGTAAGGCTGTTTAGAATGATCCAGCGAATTTTTCTGAAGGCTATCCCGACCGATGGCTGCTACCTTGACGTGGTGGTCGGGCTTACATATATCAATGACCCAACAGGTTACACTGACAGACACTAAGTTCTACGTTGAAACCAGTCAGTCAGTATCTGGAGGCTATAGTGTTTAGGATGAAGCAGATTTCGAAGTTGTAGTCAGTTGCTCCCAGCTATCTTCAGGCCTAATTATAAATAAGAACTAGAAATCTTGAAGTCTATGAGCTTCAGAGGATGGATTTACTTAGAAACGATCCTCATGCTGTTTTAGCTTCTGAAGAGAAACAAAACAATGTCTAACATAAACTGATTGGATTGCCTTAGTGGTTTTGGTGTTTTTGTATTCAGTCTGGTTTCCTGATGGCGCGGAAGGCTATTGTGGAGAGAGAATCAGACAGAATAGACTACTGTTTCTTCACCGAATATAACAATTAAGGTGTACGGCTTATTGTATTCGGCATATTATTAGACTGGATTTTCAGTCTCTGTTGTCTTCTAGTACCTACCACAATACTGGTATTGTCACTCTGCAAGAAACCTGGCTCCATGACTCATACGATGACAATATTGTGTCTCTAAACAATTTCAATGTTTTTCGACAAGACCGTATTTGTTCCAAGAAAAAGTGTGGTGGAGGTGTTGCAACTTTTATTCACTCAAAATGGTCCATTTCAAACAAAGTTTGTTTCAAATTCTCGAATGACTTCATTGATTGCATCACTGTGAGATGTCGCCCGAAACACATTTCAAAATACAAATTCATTTATATTTCTAATGTTTATGTCTCTCCTGGCTGTACCATATTGGATTTATCTATGTTCGCCGATGAATTCACCGCTTTTGCTGCAGCTTGTTTCGAGAACTCTTTATCAATAGTAACTGGCGACTTCAATGGAAGCGATTGCTCCTTCCTTATATCACTTGGTCATGACAATATTGTCAACTTTGCCACCCGTCTTGGTAAAACACTGGACCTGGTATTTATCAATGATGTTGGTATATATGAAGCTCGCAAACGTGCTCCTCTACTTAATTCTGACCACTGCATCATACGTGTACTGCCTAAAATATATTCCAAATCACACAAAGGTGTCCTCTCTCACCTCTACAGTAAAGTTCAACGGAGATGCTACTCAAAAGACAACCTAGACAAGCTCAGATGCATGTTGAAAGACACTAACTGGGACTTATTTACAGAACAAACATTAGATGAAACAATCACAAACACTACTGATTATCTTAAATTCTGTTTCGAAATATGTTGTCCTAAAGAAACATTATTCATCCGATTTGATCGCTTATCTTCGCCATATCTCAAAAAGCTACGTAGAAATAAAGAACTGTTGTTCAAAACTAATGATAAGCCTGGTGTAAAAAAGTTAAACATGCTGATAAAACTGGAAATAAAAAGACTAAGTGTTTTATATAATCAAAGATTTTTGTCATGTAAAACCCCTTCTAATTTATGGAAACTTTTCAAAGAAATTACTAACGGTAAGCGATGTATTTCTGTTCCATCTCTTAATGTTGACACTCTTAATAAATCTTTCATACGCTCTTCTGTTGATACCCTTCCAAATGATACAAATCATATTGACAATAACTTTAGTGGTTTTAATACCCTTGATGTGCTTAAATGTCTCCGGTCTCTTAAGCCTTCTCAAAGCCTTGGTCCTGACGGCATACCTGCCATTGTCCTCAGGAATTGTGCTGATATTTTGTGTTATCCTCTTACTAACATTTTTAATGCCTCTTTTTCCGGTAACGTTCTACCTTTTGCATGGAAAAACATTAAAATTATCCCTATACCAAAACCATCTTCTGGTTCTGATATTAAATTTCGGCCTATTGCAATTACTTCCCCCTTTTTAAAATTGATGGAAAAATTACTTTTACTTCGTCTTGAACCCGCTTTGAAACCTTTTAATGATCCTAAACAATTTGCATACAAACATGGTAGAAGTACCTTGGATGCTGCGGTTGTCTTATATCACAATGTTGTCTCTTGTTTAGACAAAGGTGCTAAATATGTTCGTAGTGCTTTCTTAGACTACACATCTGCTTTTGACTCTGTACCTAGGGGCCTTTTATTAAATAAGCTATCATTGACACAAACAGGATCCTGGGCTAAGAGTTGGTTGCATTCCTATTTTTCTGATAGAATGCAGTATACTGTATATAACGGCAAATCTTCTTCTACCTCGCTTACAAAATCCGGTGTTCCACAAGGTGCTGTCCTCTCTCCTTTTCTTTTTTCTTTCTTCCTACATGACCTGCCTCATTCAAACGAAACTAACTTTGTCAAATATGCAGATGATCTGACTGTATCACTGCCTATCACTTCCGAGTCTGACAGCTCCAAACTTAATAGCTTTCTGTTGGACATCAACAACTGGTCCAAGTCAAATGGTCTTATATTAAATCCTTCCAAATGTCAGGTGCTTGACTTTACTTTCAAGCATCGACGTGACTTACTTGAACTAGTTAACTCTCATGATCCCTGTAGCATAGATGGCACGGAAATTGAAACCAAATCAAGTATTAAATACCTTGGACTAGTTTTTTCCTCTGACCTTTCATGGTCATCCCATATCTTATCTATCTCTAAGAAAATGTTTCGTCTTACCTTCTACATTAAAAAGTTAAGACAATCAGGTATCAACCAACCTTTAGTTTTGCAATTTTTAAACTCCTGTATTTTACCTATTGTACTCTACTGCTCTCCATTAATCTTTCCTGGGCTGCTCAAAAAAGATTATATCATATTACGAAGAGTATTAAATGCTGTGAGTAGAGCTTGTGGTCTGCCACTGCATGAGCTCGCTAATACTATAGTCGAGAGGCATATAAATTCCTGTACGAAATGGGCAAAGGCTATAATGTCAGACCCTCTGCACCCCCTTTATTCACACCTGTCCCCTTGTATCTCATCAGGTAGGACGAGAAGTCAATATAAAAAGATATATGCTCGTACTACTAAGTATAGAAATTCTACAATACCCTATTTAGCGCGTACTTTATGTGACGAAGACTCTGTTAGACGTGAAACTTACAAGTTACTATGTAATTAGCACAGTGAATCGACCCTTTTATCGTTCATCTTTCTGTATTTTATGGTGTTACACTTTCTATCGTTTAAATCGTTACTCTGCTATTTTATATTAGTTGGTATTACTATTATTACTACAATTTTGTACTTTATACATATTTTTCTCCGTATGGCACACAGTATTTTGCTACGTAGCTGCTACAACAATCGTTTTATTACTATTATGTATTGTGTATTTTTAATTTTTTTTGTCGTTTTTGGGTAAATTAGATGCAATATTGTACTGAATGCTGAAAATTCCTTGCTGTATCATGAGTACTGTTTTTGGAATAAAGCAATTATTATTATTATTATTATTATTATTATTATTATTATTATTATATGTATGAGTATAAGTAAGCTGAAATTTTGAAAACATTTTCATATTCCGACTTCGATGTTTGCAGGGATTCTGATTACTTTCGATGCGGATTTTGTCATGAATCGATGTCAGCTGTACAATGATTGAAAACTATAGAGGAGAGCTAGACATCTTCCTCGTTCCTACAGCAGTAATCCCGATAGACATGTGTATAACAAAAACAAAAACGTAATAGTAATAACATTCAGTCACTTTTAACTACTAGGCATGTTTTCAAGTATTGGTTTTGTAGGGATTGTGTTCGATTGGTTGGAAGGTTTCATCATTACCTGGCGAGCTTCATGGTCTACCAGGTGTCCTTGGAACCAGAAGGTGCTGGGTTCGACGCCCGGTGGTGCCTTCTGCTATTATATTATGTTTTCCTTTATTTTCTGGAGGAACATAGGGCTTCAGCCAGGCGTCTCCATTGCGTTCGTTTCTCTGCTAATATTTTCACCTGGCTCCAAGTCTGCCCACATTCTCTTATATCCTTTTTACATGACCTCCTTCAAGTCACTCTTGGACGACCAACTATCCGATTCCCTTTCGGGTTCCACTCGAGGTCTTGTCTAGTGATGTCACTTGATGGTCTCCTCAGAGTATGACCAATCCACCTTCATATCTTCCTGCTTATTTGTTGCACAATCGGTTCCTGGTTAGTTCGCTCCCAGAGATCTCCGTGTTGCTGATCTTTTCTGGCCGGCTATCTGATCTTGAGTATTGAGCGAAGACAGCTGTTGATGAAGGTCTGTAGTTTGTTTGAGGTGCTGATTATGATGCGCTGGCCAAGTGTCTGATCCGTACAGTAAGTAGCACTGACTTCACATTGGATTTGAAAATCGGGATCTTATTTTTGATGCTTAGTGCTGTTGACCTCCCCACAGACTTGAGATTAATGAAAGCTTGTCTTGCTTTTACGATCCTTGCTGTGATGTCCTCGTCAGTTCCATCCGCCTGTAGTTGAAAAGATGCTTCCCAGGTAGGCAGGTGAAGGATGTTGTTTCTTTCAGGTTCCTCCCATTTATGCTGATTATTGTCTGTTGTTGTTGTTGGCCAGGAATCTCCATCGCCTACTACTATCCATGTATTAATCATGCACGAAGCTGAACACACTGTAGTACCAAATAGCTCTCCAAACGTTTTCCATTAGTAATTTTAGTAGTCATTCACAAGTGATACAGCTTATCTAATTATTATTATTCCTTTAAGAAGCATAAGTTAAATTGAAAAAAAGTAGAAGAATGTTTGAGAGATGTTGTTCTTAAGGTAACTTCACTTACTTATTCACAAATCGTAATTCTTTATTTTGTTTTCTGCTTTTTTAAACAGAATCCAAAGTCTTCCAGTGCACTAAATGTCACAGTTGTTATACTTCCAGAACATTTTTAAAAATACATATCCAACGCGTACACAAAGGTAAGCTTCAATTGTATTTAAGATTAATTGTAGGTTTTATTTCATTAAATTAACGAATGACGATATTGTAGTGCGCATAGCTGTATCTGATCATAGGTGTTTCTGTTCTATCTCTCATGTATTAGGTGGTCTAATAGGATGGATGATAATGAGGTTAGGCGTCGAGTGTTAGGTAAGAAGGGTGAGGATCAATCGATGAGATTGTGAATCTACATCGATTGAGATGGCTAGGACATTTGTTATGCATGCCTAGCGTAGCCTTCGCCTTCCTCGACGGGCAATGTTAGCTGACATAGGATTAGGGTTAGAAAAGAACTAGTGGTGGTCACACGAAAATATGGCATCAGTCTATGAAATCTCTAATAGTCGGGAGGAGCAGACTGCTTGACTGGCTGGTTGGGGTCCTCGGGATGCTAAAAACCAATGGTTGGAGAAAATTGATTGTCAATGCCACAGATGCATTTACACTTTACTATCTGCCCTGTTGTTTTTCAATTTTACTATTCTTTCCTCCTCACATTTCTGCTTGTTATGGTTCGACCGAATTTCATTTTTTCTCTGTTGTGTTCATTTGTATGCTTCATGGATTGTAGCAAGTCGAATTGGCGTGGTTCTGTGCAAAGTTCAATGTTGAAACTAGTTAGTCAGTCAGACAGTCAGTTCGTATGCATTTGCTTACACTTACTCACCCAGTGGTAATATCTGTGACTACGATAATGACTGATCAGGGCTCGAATTTCAGAGGTTGAGTGGGACAACAGGTCCTTTGAGGCTGCAGATACACCTTGTTGACGAGTGTTAAAAAGCAGAACGTCTAGGTTGAGGACTTCATTAAAGTGAGTGTAGAAATTAATTTGGCACTGGGATGTTCATATGTAGGGGTGCTTAAACATGCTAAATCCGCTTATCTTCTGCATGCACTATTGAATTGATGAGGGGTGGGGTCGTTGATAATAGTCACTATGACCAATGCGCCTAAATGGTATGTGATCTTTGATAATGTTTGAAGGAGAGGGCTGTTGTAGGTTGTGGAATTCCAGACAACATGAAAAGAAGGTTACTCAGTAACCATTTGCTTTTCACTTGACAGTAACCCATACCCACTCTGATAGGGTTACCTAGTCACCAACCCTTTGGTAAGCTAAATGGGGCTGGAGTCTGTGACCCAGTACTTAGATGTGAAACACCTGAAGCAGTGAATCAGACCAATGGTTGACACAAAATGAAGCTATTGGATAGTGCGTTTAATGATTTACTGAGATTTTAGATGTACTTCATAACTTTTGATAGACTGTCTGGCTGACATTTAAATCAAAGGTTGTAAGCAGTAATTACTGAGAATTCCCAATCTCACATCATAGTCATCTCTGAGGATGTTGTCCAGATGGATATTGAAAGCTTCGGAGTACACAATACACACACAACAATACCAGAATGTTGAATGCAGTACTTTTATTCCTTTAGGGTGTCAACTGTTATCTGAATAACAGTTTATGATGAGTAAATCATGTGACGTGAGGTAGAATCTTGAATGGGGAACATGGTTTTCCATAGATTTTCAGATACTCCCTATGAATGAATCGTAGATGGGATGAGATTAAAGCTTAACACTGTTTGTTTTTTCGACTGTATTTTGATATTTGTGGCTTAAAGTCAATGTGTGTATTAATTTTTGCCCATTACCACTACTACTTTAGATGTAGACTATACATGTCCACAGTGTTGTAAAACATTTGCAGAGAAGTATAAATTGGAAATTCATCAAGCAATGATTCATGGAGGTGAGATAAATGAAAATTTTCAATAAGAATTTCATCAATAATTTTGATAATTTGCATTGTAACATTAAGAACGGATTATTCAATGAAAAGACTAGCAGTGAAATCCGGGATGTGCATTTCATTCTGTTTGGATATATCTGCATTCGCCATTGAGTGAGTCTCGAACCCAGTACTCATCGTTTCAAATGCCAACGCGTTATATCCAGATAGACCACTAGCGCCATAAGAGCCATCACCTCTTGTGCCATGGGTGTCAGTTATTATTCCAATAATAATAGTAACAATTGACGTAATAAAGGAAGAGTATATAAATTGAATAGACCAAACGAAAAAATTGGAAAGGCCAAAATATGATTGGGGATTACCATACTTTAGCATAGAGGGATTAAGACCATGAAAGTTGGAGGGGTTGAACGAACTTTTTCTGTACACAGAGATCTGGCTTTTCTGTTTTGAAAGCGTAGGCTTCAGCAATACAGATGAGTAGGGTACGTAGTGATTTCGGTAAACTACTTTTCGCCTTGTAGATGACTTTAAAGGCGGGGGCTATAGAGACAGGGTGGTCATTATCGACCAGATGTTCAATGATCGCGCTTCTTATTGCTCCACTACATACCCTACTCATCTGTATTGCTGAAGCCTGCGCTTTCAAAACAGAAAAGCCAGATCTCTGTGTACAGAAAAAGTTCGTTCAACCCCTCCAACTTTCATGGTCTTAATCCCTCTATGCTGAAGTATGGTAATCCCCAATCATATTTTGGCCCTACCAATGTTTTCGTTTCGTCTATTCATCAATTTATATACTCTTCCTTTATTACGTCAATTGTTACTATTATTATTCTCACTTCGAATTGTCCCCTATATTATTTCACTTGTGTCACTTGTCATTGTAGATCGATTCTCTTTTTTACAACCTTAAATTCTATGTTATCAAATAATTTCACATAATATTACGTAACGTTTTTATTTCATTCGATTCGCCTACTAGTCCTATAATTGCGCACCCGTTGCAAGTTCTGTCCATCCTATGAATTATTCTATGTACAACATTAATCATTTTGCTACTTATTACTTATTATTATTACTTGCTACTTGTGATGATGCTTTGGCGATGTATGGTCATGTAACTCGAAGTCAATTGGTGGATCGTGACTTGCAGTGGAATCCAGGATGCGCATTTCGTCGTATTTGAGACTCATCACCTGGATGGATTCCTCTGGTAGTCACTATTCACCAATTGACTTCTAGTTGCATGACCAGACACCATCGAAACATCTGCATAAGAAGTCGACATGTCAACCGTAGACCGAGGATTTCGATCCAATCCATCGACGGGAAAATCTAAATTGAAGTAAATGATGGATAAGACCCGTTACACAAGAGGTGGGTCTCGTGGCCTAAGCGGTCTAATCGACAACACTTAGGCCTTCACAACATTGGCCACTGAATTCAAACCTCACGGGGAACACCATCGGTCATTGCGGAATGCAGGTAAATCCAGTTGACAGGTCTCAAATAGGACAAGATGCGCGTTATCCTGGATTCCACTGCTAGTCACTATCCCCCAATTGATTATGTAACATAGTGAGAAGTTTGGTAAGGTAGAATTGAACATTGCAAAAAGGATACACTGATTCAAAATAATAAGTGAGGCAAGTGAAATAATCCCGGAAACTGTTCAAGTTGAGAATAACATTAATAACAGTCGTAGTAATAGTAGGGGAAGATACACAGATTAAATAAACAAAAGAAATAAATGTTTATGGCACTACGGCAAAGGTAGAAATAAAGACTGTACATACTTCTTGTGTACGTGAATGTTCTGACTTGAACTCATGAATGGCCAAGGCCTGCACTGTCTTTAGAAGTTTTGAACGAAATAAAAATACGGCAAGTTAGCCTGAATTCGATAGATGATCTCAAAATCATGGTTGGGATTGGTAGAGCGTGACGAATTCGATCAATATGTTCTAGCCAGGGTAGAGCTTTGCACATCCTACCTTTCACAACGCTGAAATGTACCGTCATATCTGCGTTGAAAGTATTCTGTGGCTACAGCAGGCGAACTAGTGAGGTTGCAAATGAAGGCGGCTAGATGAGGGAGCTAATAGTTTACAGATACGGAGAAACACTTACGGCTAGTGAAGGCTAATTGGAGTTTAGATGCAAAGGATGTCTTCCTGAATGATTTAGAGAAACGATTTTCGAGCATATCTCCTACTTGATGGTCACCTTTAAATTCCAAATTCCTGGAGACAGTTTGCTTTGGAACCAAATCAGTGACCCGTTTGGATGGCTTATCTTTCATCTTCCTAATTACTAATGCATTCCTATCTTTTGAAGTCGAATAGAGTTATTTTAGCTTAAATGGATATATTTTTGATATGTATCCATATATATATATATATATATATATATATATATATATATATATGTGTATGGTGGTCTATCTGTTTGCTCGCTTAGTCTGTGACCATTTCACTTTGATGAACCTGTCTCCTTTAACAATGTATATTCCCCTTATATTATATATAATATGAGTGTTTGTTAACAGTTCGTTGCTTGGTGACATATATCCATGTATGGTTGTTGTTGACATGTCTGCTATATTTTGCTATGTATATATGAATGGACACTCCATTATAATTAGCCATTCATGTTAAGACTGTCTATTGATTTTTTCACACACTTGTCTGGATGGTCATATATATTTCGCTCTCACAATTTGTGTGACTTACTTCCTTTTCTTTGGTGTGATACCACTTATTGCTTCTCCTTGTGTTTGCAAAATAGAAGTATCATCGAAAACCTAGTGGTCTTCTGATTTCCGTCTTTCTTGCGTCAGGACTATTAAATTCTCGACCAGTACATAACAATAACTTGGCGACGAGTACATAACAGTTGTGTTTGGGTGTCATTGTGTTCTCTGTGTGAATCGGATGAGAGACTTTCATTGTTCTTGTGTACAGCATCTTCAGCGCTAACCTCAATATTAATTTAGTTTTGGGAATTTTATATAGATAAAATCTTTATCTTACCCTGGTGACCTGTAATGTGATTGGTTCATTTCTAATGGCATTATATCCACTTAAATGTTGTGATTAATCCTTTAGGTGACCTGATATTTGACTTTTCAAGTCGTGTGACCTATTTTCTATCGTTCGCTAAATTTGCCCTCTCTCCAAGATATATATGTATATATATGTAAGTGCTTTTTGTATGTGTATTCGTGTTTTTTATTCTGAACAGTTAGCCGGTTTAAATGTGAACAATGTGGTCAGTGTTTTTCGACAAATGGTGAGCTCAAATCGCATAATGAAGTTGTACATTTAGGTAAGTATGGATTATTTGTGTTTATTTCTTTTAAAGATGTATTTCAGTAATCCTGGAACCAATGAAATCCCTGCAAACCAACACTCGATGATGAATCTATCACTCACTAACATCTGGCCTTAAAAATGAAGTTACCTGAGGTTCCAGTGAGAAGTCGTAACCAGCGGATCCACTAAGTCAGGTGGTGACAATGCCTGTTGGTTGCGCTATATATACATACATATATGCCACGAATCGGCGGAAGTTGGAATTGATGAACCATTGAGTCGGATCCCATTGGCTGGATAGTCTACTGAAGAGTCTTAAAGTAGCAGAAAACAGCTGTCCAGTACTGCAGTCGTGGTTTTCCAATGGTTCTGCAACTGATGTCAGTTCGTGATTAATCGTGTAACCAATTAAATCCCTGCCAACTGGCACTTGATAATGCAAACCTATTTTGTCCTCCTTTACAGAAGTAGGGAGGTTGTGTCATTAGTTGTGTGTGTTCAAACTCTATTTGGCGTTTCTGGCCAAGTAGCATTACTAACTATCATACGCACACGCACTCACTTGGTAAAAATTTTACTCTCCACTCAATATCCCAATAACAACTAGTGGATGGCACACACCCGTGAAATCACTGACTTTGACAACAAAGTTCTATAATTACAGAAGCGACATTCAGCTTATTAGAGATTGCAGACATATCTTTTGATGAGTACCAAAAGTGCTAAATGTTAAGTTAAGCGGATGGACTCTTATCGACCGAATTTTCCGTACATCTAACACATTTTACGACCGTCATTAAGTCGTCAGTTGTCAGTGAAGTTGCTTTGTTATTTACTAGTTTGTCAGTGTCTAGATTTATGACGTGTTGTCTGACAAAAATTTCCGTTGATGTAGGCCTTGTATGCCTTGAATGTTGGTATATACCGTCAATTTTTAATTTACCTGTAAGCCAATTTCAGCAAAGTATTCATTTATTTATTATACTTGTTGTTCCCTAGGGTTCCAAATGGAAAAAACGTAGGGCTTCAACAGCACATGTCCGTTTGACTCTTTTCTCTGTAGTCCGTTATGACTGGCCCCACGATTTCCCATAGGCTCTCATCTCCCCTCTCGCGTTCTCCATATCCATTTTAGACACACACCTACATATTTGTTGAGCATTAGGTTCCTGGTTGGTTCATTCATTGGCATAGTGTCTTCTTGCTATTTGTTTCTGGCCAAGCTCGCCTAGTTTACTAGCTCACTAGTTTTGTAGCCGGACCCAGGCTTGGGTAAATAGGGAGGGTCGAGCGTGGGACTAGTCACCCTACACCACAAAACCAATCAAACTGCTACAGAAACTTCAATACACAATGAAAATTTTAAAAATGCAAAAAACAAATACAACAGACCTATTTTGCGCTGGAATTCAAGTGGTGAAATGATGCAGCGGGCTGGTGAGAGCCTTCAGGAAGCCAGTCAGGCAGCTGATGTGTCTTCTCTCTATGAAAGCAAAAATAAGCATCGGTGTATGGAATGTTCGTACAATGTATGAGGCTGGGAAGACTGCGCAGGTAGGCAAAGAAATGAGAAGTGCTGGGAATCTGCAACAGCAGATGGAATGAATGTGGACTGTCGAAATTGTCAATTGGTGTGATTAATCTATTTCGATCATCCCGATGAAAACCACGAGCATACTGAGGCAGTGAGTGACTATCATGATCTTACCATTGGTGGCCAAAGCCTTAATGCAGTGCAGTGGGGACCAATTTCATCCAAGATCATGACAGCAAGAACCAATTGAAAAGGAAGGAAAAAAGGTTACAATTATCCAATGCTACGCACCTACAAACAACTCGGAACAAGAGAGGAAGGAAAATTTGTATATACATCTGCAAATAGTAATGGACAACATTCGGAATGGGGACGTCGAAATCTTTGTGGGCTATATGAATGCTAAAGTGGGAACTGGTAATACAGAAAGAGAACACACCACGGGTCGAGAACTCTTCGTAGACTTCTACGCTGTCAATGATCTGGTGATCGGAGGCAGTGTTTACCAGCACAAGGATATACACAAAGCTATATGGATTTCGCCTGACGGACAAAGCAAAAAGCAGATAGATTTCACCTCATTGCTGCTCAAGGGATTGGGGACTCAGGCAATCTGCCGGACACAAAGTCAAGAAGGGCTCAGACAATCACCTAGTTCAAGGAACCTTCAAGGTGAGGCTGAAATCCTTCAGAAAAACTGGAGACAGGCCACTGTAATTCAAGTTCAACACTCAGAAAGCGAAGAGCAAAAATACAAGGGATACTTCCGATACAGATCAGAGAAAAGTCGGTGACACTACGTGGCATCATTGAGAAAACCTGCTTGGAAGAACATTGGGACTAACTCTCTGAATGTGATGTTCAAAGAGACGTATGCAGTCGCCTTGAGAAGACAGAGGAGGCGAAACGAGGAATGGCTGTCAACGGACACCTACCTAGAAGCTAATCAAGGAGAGGAAGATGTTGAAAGAGAAGATAACTAAATGAACAGATAAACAACAGAATGAGAAGCTAAGTTCAGTGTACATCGCACTGAATAGAGAAGTGTAGAAGAGTGCTAGGAAAGATAAAAGACAATTCTTCGACACACTGGCAACTGAAGCAGAACAGAGTGGTCGCAGGTAGAAGAGACCTCAGGACATTATATCAGATAACCAGGTGTTTATCTAGGAAGAGATCATTCCAGATGATGAAACCAATAAAAGATGTTCAAGGGACCAGTGACAACAACAACTTAAGAAATTTTTGGCAGTTAAGTAACTCATTTGATCGGTTGTTTAAGGTCAGACACCAAAGATCGTCCAATGAAATCATGACTTAAATTGTCGATTCTGGTTGAACCTGATTTTAGACTATTTTGATCACTTTCTATCATAGACTGAGTTCTTATCACCAGTTAAGTCTTACGCCTCTAGGTGGGGTAAGGTGGTAAGTTGGATGATTTTGAAAGTAACACCTTTAAAGGTGACCTGTAGGAGTTTTGTTATTGTGTACATGAATACGCCAGTCTACTCTAATTGTGCGTGAATGTTTATATAATAACGTTTTCTTGAGACACGAAAGCATGTGTCATAAGGATTATTTTCCTTTTTATGGCAACTCTGGCTAATTCAATCTTTCTATTATTGTTGCTCTACTTTTCAGGCATTACTTACCCTTGTTCACAATGTGGTAAAGTCTTTTCAAAAAAGTCCTATTTAAGATTACACAAAGACTTTGTACATCAACGTAAGTAGAATGATTCGTTCAGATTTAGTTAAAGTGGTCTCATATATATATATATATATATATATATATATATATATATATTATATATTGATTACAGCTTGATTCCACACAGTACTTTTTGCTAGAAGTATAGAATTTTCAGCATGTGATATCAGTAGCCCAAATTTTGCAGGCCAACCGTAGGTATCAGGTGTGCGTCGGCGGGTGATCGAACCCCGGACCATGTGCATGGCAGGTGAGCGTCCTAACCGCTATGCCACTGACGCATATCGTGTTATCGCTTTCTTAATGTGAACCAGTGTGATCTGCATAATGCGCATCAGTTGCATGGAAGGTCCGGGTTGTATTCAGAGCCGATACACTCCCAAAACCACGATGAATGTACCAACCGGGCTTATTAACCCCAGAAAAAAGAGGAAAGTTTCACGTGAGTCGAGCAAACACCACTGCTATTGAATCTTCCACATCTTCTCCAGTAGTGGTCTCACCAAGTCCGCTGTTGTCTCTGGGTCCATTTTCAATGCTTCTGCTGGAATTCCATCTGGTCCTGCTACTTTTCCAGCTTTTAGCATTTTGATTGCCTTCAGGATTTCTGTTCTTGTAGGATGGTTTATGTCCACTAGTAGTTCTGCTTCCGTTGTTAGTATTATTGGGCGTGTTGTAGGTGGAGGTCGATTTAGAAGTTTTTTGAAGTGCTCAGTCCAGCGTATCCTTCGCTCCACCTCTTTGGTGATTTACTTACCCTTGTCATTCTTTACTGGCTTAATTTGTTTTGATCTTTTCCCCGATAGGAGCCTAGCTGTTTTGTAGAGTGTTGAGAGGTCTCCTTTGCCTGCAGCTTGTTTGTTCTGTTTCACTTATCATGGCTTCATAATATTTTCTTTTGCCTTCCCTGGCACTCTTCTTTACTACTTTGTACAGTGTGTTGTAGCTTGCATTCAACTCCTGTTTTTGTTGCTCGTCGATGCACTGGATACTCTTTTGTTTCGCCGTCTTTCTCTCTTCTGTTAGTCTCCAAATGTCCGTAGTGAGCCACTGTTTGTCCTGTCTCTTCTTTCTGCCTAGAACTTCCATGCAGCTTTGACTCCAAACTGCTTTCAGATTGTCCCAGTGTTCATTTCTCCTAATTTTGATTTCTCACGATGTTTGTTCGATGTATATCGCATCACATTCCAAGTAAGCATTTTATTTTGTAGACACAATTAGAAAGAGAATCTTTAGGGATTTGGTCTTCTATATATGGACAAGGTTGCTTGTCAGTTTGTCTGGTGTTTTGAAGATAAGGACGCAAACAGTGGAGAAAATTTCCTTTTCAACGATTCATTTTCAAAAGCTGTACAGTCCTAATCATATTTAATAACGAGTTCGTTAGGCCAATCAGATTCCGATTAAATTTGTCCTCAAAAATGTGTTACTCAATATAAGGTGTAGTCTAGACGGGGTGACTAATTGGAAATTAGAAGAGGGGTAGCAGTTGGGATGACGTAATAAGTGTGAGAAAAGGACTAGTCACTATATAATTGTGTAGAATGGACACGAACTAGTGGAAAGACGATAAAGTGTTTTTACATAAAATCTGTATGAAAACGCAAAGTTATTTATTAATAAACAGTAATAGAGTGATAATAAAATAAGGATGATGAGAGTAATAATAATAATAATAATAGTAAACTTACATAATAAAAGGAAGCAAAATTATAGTGATAACGTTACTCTGGCCATGATAGGGTGATGAGGGGATGTATGCAGTGCTTTTGAATGCAGAAGTCTGGTTTCAGATCCCGAATAGCTATGTACAGACGGTGTATTCAAAGTCCTTTCGTACGATATTGAGGGGTTTTGTGTAGCACTGTGCACAAGTATTCGTGCGGGAGTGCTTCATGTCGAGAGTTGACAGGTGTTCGAGAATGGAGCTGCTAGTATTCTCCTTTTCTTCTCTGGCTATCCAAGCTAAACATTGTTCCAGAATACGTTTGAGGAATTGACATTGCGTACGACCGATATAGTTTTCTGAACAGGAACAAGTAAATTGATAAATACACACTGAGGTGGCCAAAAGCATTATCTCGTCTTTAACGTTAGACTGGATAAATTGTCTGCTGAAGAAGGCGACGCGTAAGGTGGTTCCTTGAAATATAAAAGTTCCTACTTACTCCTTACAGTATTTTCATTCAAATTATATTCGAGTTTAATTCAATTTTTATTCTCTTTCTCCAGGTACACAATTACCCTGCACTCACTGTAGCCGAACATTCCCCTTTCAATATCTTCTGAATCGTCATATTAAAATTTTCCATGAAGGTAGGTGGTCATTATTGTCTCAAGCTGTTTTCTAAATGAACACTGGGGTTTCGTTTCATTTCTCTTTTGCTTTGAACGCTTTTCTTATCTGCATAAAATACAGCACAATACACCGAGTGTTTGTTAATAGAGATTCGATCTGTTTCGAGTTTGATCACGCGTGACTGTCACCTAGAGAACCATTGAAAACCGGTACTGGACAGCTGTTTCGTCTTCGTAGTTTCTGTCTCGTCGAAAAAAAAAAACCACTACTCAGGGTTTCGAACTCAGGACCTAGCGGTTGCAAGTCAATGGCTAACCCATGAATTCTAACTTCTGTCGATTCATGATTTTAGCGTGGCTGGCACAAGCTAGTATCATTTGTGAGTATTTGTCTTGACTCTCGGCCGGCCCCAGCCCACTGGTCACGACTTTCTCAGTAGGACGAAACAAACTGTCCAGTAATCAAGTGCTGGTTTTGCAATGGTTCTCTAACTGATATCAATCCCCGTGGTCAAACTGGGAATAATACCGAATCGTGATTCAAGTTGCCACATTGTGTCAACAATACACATCAAGATATGAAATGAAGATAATGAAATCATAGATAATATAGTATTGTAGGACTTCAAAAGAGAAGCATAAATGCATACGTATATTGTTGTCATCGAGTGTAGGTCATAGGTACCTGCACTTCACTATACAGTTCTGAAAGGGATAGTCATTCGCCGCATAGTTTCGTATTATTGTTGTTTGAATTTAAGTATGCTTTGCCTTGCTTTCTTTCGATCGAATCCTACTCCTGTTGACATATAGTATGTTAAAGCAGGTGATGATGTGCATCAGTGTGTAAATGGCCCGCTTGATTAGTATATATCATTAGTGTAAACTTCCATTGTAATGTAGTAGACCTTCCGGTCCCCCACCAGTCAAAATGATGTAGGGCCTTCTTTTACTCCTACATTATCACTGGGCAGATGAGTACAGGTACACATATAGGCTTGTTAATGCTGAAATATGTTACCTTTGTCTCTGTGTAATAGCTATAAGATGATTTCATTGGTAGATGACTGGGACACCTTTGTTTTTGATTGTTGTATTAGCCTGATTATTTATTGAGTAGTGTCGAAGGGGAGGAATAAAGGTAAGTGGTTCAAAATTGGAATCATATTTTGTTCCTTGCTAGTTGGTGATTTTCTATGCATTGATTTCTTTCAAACTGCGTAATGTTTGTTGTGCATTTCTCCGTTGGTTTTTCTGTTTATTTTGGATTTCGATTGGAATGAACGAAAGATATTCAGTGTGAAAAACAGTTTGGTACAGTGTTATGCAGATAGATAAATGAAATTATATGAATGAACATGTAATATAGTGATAAAAGTTATGAATTGGAGAACTCAGTGTCAGGTCAGGTGATGAGTCAAATTTATTGCATATGAAGACTAGTGGTACTAGCTAGTAAGTTTCCCAGACTTAGAGGGCCCCAGGGAGGGGGATTTGAACCAATGATCCACTAAAGGACAGTCGTCTGTCTGCGTCTGTGAAGTTAACTGTTAATTTACATTTCTGCCGCAAATCTTCGTCGTTGTAAGTACTAAAAGTACCTTTGGTATTTGTTTAATGTTTTCTTGTGTGTGTTATATAAGTAGCCTTCATCGACTAGGCTCAAGTAAGATGTATATATTACAACCTTAGTTGATATTGATTGGCAGTCATCAGCAAGGCGTATCTGCAGTCTTACGGGAATTGATATCCTGTCTATGATTCGAATTCACGTCACCCAGAGTTACAGTCAAGCCTCGAACCAGTTCTTCTGCATTGGTCAGAAACTTGCCATGCGCCTTACAGAAGGCATTTCCAAGAGACTACTCCCAACTTTCATCAACAGCTGACTTCACTGACTCCTTATTGAAGAGACGAAATGACTGACCGGCCAGAAGGAATTAGAAGTAACTAACTGTAGGAACGAGCCAATCACAAACCTATTGCTCAACAAATATGTAAAAGAAAATGGAGATGGACCTGAGACACGCTACTGAGGAAACCGTCGGATGAAATCGCGCTCAATGCAAGCCATCACTCCAGTGGGAGCCTTGTTGGAAACGACTAGTTGGGCCTGGGTGTGAGTGTGACATGAAGGAGATTGTATGATGAGGAGATGAGATTGCCTATGGGCGATTGCGGGACCGGCCAAAGAGAACCACAGAGAATAGGACAGAATGTAGCTGTGTTGTTGAACTTATATAAATCCACTTAACTTTTCTTTTATTATTATTTTAGGCATAAAACCAACATGTGATGAATGTGGTAAAGAGTTTACAGCAAAGTTCTCTTTAAATCAACACATAAGAGCAATTCATAAAGGTGAGTTAAATATTTGCCTATTTATGCATATGTTGTTGAAAGCGGGAATTCGCAACCATTTTCCTTGTTTTGCAAATTAGCCAACTCATCGATTAGCTAATATACAACCAGATATAAATTGTAGCACATTGGACTGACTGTTTTAAGGAATCATTAATCTCCTTATATCCATATCTATGTGTATGTATATGGGATCATATGTGAATCTCCTTCAGTAGGTTAGTATTTGAACTCTATATGTAGTCCTACACGCGACGAAGTTGTTGCTTACAAAAGTTAAGGGACGAATGCGAATTTGTGGCACTTACAACTGCACTGGTAGACATGTTAGACTACCAAGGGGAGTTGGAAAACCCTCATTCCAAACCTATGGTGTAGATAGGCCTCCAGAATCCGAATGAATGGAATAGCGTGTGGAATTGTTTTTGGTCACCGGAAACGGAACCATGGGAACGTAGCTCCTCAGGCTGCTCCACTGCCTTGTGGATCTGTCTTCGAGTCAGAGGTACGATTGACAGTAAGGCATTACATATTCATGTGACAACTAGATATTACCTGTAGTGGTTTTAGTAAAATAACACAGTTAAGTCGGTTAATTCAGCTGATATACCTGTGGACTGATAGTTCAGAGGCAATTGCTTCGAATTCTGCCACAATCTGGAACTTTACTTTTTCATACCTGTACGTTCCGAGTGGAAGTTAGGGTTTCAAGATTTCAGGGAATCAGTAGCGGGTTTGTAGCCTTACGTCCAACAACCTCCACTATTGTATAACACTAATACCACCTGTTAAACTAGGTGAGGTTTTTAAGGGGCGATGACTCAGGAGTAGGACGTTGACATTCTCGTGTGTCTCGTGTGCATTATATCACTGAATTACTGACGGACTCAACCCAGAATGGTGTTGATCAGAGAATTTTTCGTAACGAAAGAACAGTGAATGATTCTTTCATGACATCATGTAATTAGTCCTTCGTTTGTGTAAAACTTGGGCACTATGGTAGTATGTAATTCCATATTAATCTGTTTATTAGATATATCACACAGTCCATGAAATAGTATTATTCACTGGATAACAAAGTGTCGGACACAATTCACTATTGCTGATAACCATATCAACTGTTGAAAACCCACACAACTCTGAAACTTTCGTTTTATAGTTTTATTCTTTATTCTTTCCTATTCGTCGTCATAGGGGTAGTAGAATTTTCTAGATGTCCGGGTGGATAGGTGTTGAGTCCTTCCCATTACATGCTTTCGTTATCGCTCGCTCCCTCCACCCTGTTAGGTTGGATTTTAAAACTATCATCCTATCCCATCATCCTATTTTATGGTTGTGTGTAATTGCATGTAGTGAGTGCTATAGCTGAACTGCTGTCTAGATTTCTTATCTTATTCGAGTCAACCAATCTAGATTTTGCTAAGTTTCCATGTTGAGCTAGTTTGACTGCCCCTGTTCTACTAGTTTAACCTATGTATTTGACCTGACAACAGCAGGGGAGTATTAGATAGGCTAAATTGTTTTGTTTTAAAGGCTTCACGGGATCCTTTAACGGAAAAAGCTTGTTTCCATTTGAGTTTGTGGGTTTGAATGCGACTTTTATTCCTACCTAATAGAACAGGGGCGGTCAGACTAGCTCAACATGGAAATCTAGCGAAATCTAGATTGGTTGTTTGTCTCTGTCTGGATTCAATAGAGAACTTGACACCGAAGTGCAGCAGTTCGAGTTGCCACGTTCCAAATAGCACACAAACGTAGACAAGGAGATGAGTCAAGAGAATCAATAGAGTTTGACAAGTATAAGAGTGAAACAGAATGGGTAATGGTAGAAAAGAATATGAAAGATTACAGAGACTGAGTACATCTGCGCTGTCATTGACAACGGTTTTGAGCCATGTCACCTGTTGTCTCCAGCTATTGATTCTTAGAGTCCCGAGGACCCCAACCCGGAAGTCTGCATCTCCCTACCTGACTCAGTTTAATTGTCAAGGATTTCATGGATTGATGCCCTGTTTTTGTTAGGCCACCACTTACTCTTTTCCAACCTGTACCTATATCAGCTAGCAATGCCCGTCGGGGGAGGCGATGGTTAGGCATGCGTAGCACGTGACCTAGCCATCTCAATCTATGTAACTTTATAGCCTCGTCGATTGATTCTCCCTCTTTGTCGAACAGGAGGAGATGAGATACAACCCCGAACTCTGCATGCAAAAAACGTCACTTAATCTACCGTAGTATTAACCTCTTCATTAGTCCTTCCCTATAATTAAAATTTTTTTTAATTTTCTACTTTATTCTCAGTTTGCTTGTGCGTCGGTGGCACAGTGGTTAGGACTCACCGACCATGCACATGGTCCGAGGTTCGATCCCCTGCCGACGCACACCTGATATCTATGGTCGGCTTGCGAAATTTGGACTACCGATATCCATGCTGAAAATTCCATACATGTACCAAAAATACAGTGTGGAATCAAGCTGTAAATCAAAATAAAAGATAAAATAAGATATTATGGTTAATTGTGTACCCATCTGAAGAGGACAGTAGAAACTAGAAGAGAGTGGAGATGTGTTGTTGAAGCCCTATGTATCACTTAGAACCCAAGGGAATAATAACAATATTTAACATAATTCTTTTCCTGCACACTTCTTACTTTAAAATATACTTCATTTATCTTCTGAATTTCTTACTCTTATAAGGAGTATTGTTGTCCCCAAGGGTTTTTAGCTTCAATGGTAATCACCATATTTGAGTGGTATTCACTGCTTAATGTTTCTAGGTATTATAATTTTTTTTATTTTTCCTGACGTTTTGCAACACTGTATACCTAGCCGGACAGCTTTGTGAAGTAAAGTTGTGGAAAGAATCTTTTGTCGTACCGTACAATGTCGTAGATTTTTCTTTCAATATCAATTAGTGCATCCACGATCTTAACTGTGAATGTAATTCTCATCAGAAGTGTTAGTGTCTTCTGGTGATGGTCTTTAGAATAATACTTAAATCATGCTGATTGACGTATGCAGAATGGGTTCAAGTCCACATCCCGTGTTCATCAGGAGAGACAGTTATTACAAAAGTCCCACTTTATCGTAGGTTATTGTGCTTATGAAAGAATGTGGTCGATGGTTACTTTGCGGATGCCCACCGGCGGAAGATGATTTCTTTTTGGGGTACTTCAAAACAGAAGTAGCGTTATTGTGTGTGTGTGTGTTTGCATGACTGCAAAGCTTACAGGTCAACTGTTTGAGCCTGGGTAAGTGTGGTTTTCCGGGAGTTGTGTCTGTATTAAGATGTTACCACTGGATGTGAATCACCACAAGGTAAGTTGGAATGTATAATTTTTGAGGTCAATCTTCTCCAACCCCTACGTTTTCAGAACGCGGAAAAGCAGTATATCTGGCTTGCATACCACCTTCTGCTGGTACCTGATACATCTTGAAGGTTAAAAGGTTGACATTCGCCCACCTACACCATCTCTAGCGTACATATGATATCTGGCTGTCGACGAAAGGAACTGTGTATTGCTCAACAGTTTCTCCGGTTCGTACTCCTTTATGGCTGGCTGGCTGGCTGTGAGTGAGACATGGTCATTTTAAAGTAGGTAAAGCCTGTCTAGCTGTCCTTGATCATAGGCGTCTGCCTTCTATCTCCCGTGTGAAATGGTTGGAGGGAAAATCAATCATCGACGTTGTGAACTTACATCTATTCAGATGGTCAGGATGTGTTATGCATACCTAGCCTAGACATCGCCTCCCTCAACGGGGAATGTTAGCTGACAGATATATGAGATTAGGTTGGAGGAGAGTTGGTAATGGTCAAACAAAAACATGACATCAGTTCACGGAATCCATAACAGTTAGTTTAAGCCAGCCAGCCAAGTAGGGAGGTGTAGGCTGACTGGCCGTCTGTCTGGTTGGGATCGTCGGTAAGGTAAGAACCAATGGCGGCTGGAGACAATTGGTGATATGGCCTGAATTCGTTTATAACGGAGCACATGTATCCACTCTTTGTCATTTGTCATATCGAATAAAACTCTGTTGTTTCTCCCTCACAGTTGTGTTTATTATCTCCGTTTTATGAATGTGTCTCTGCTTTCTTCTGTGACTTTGTGTGCTGCATGGAGAGAGAGCGAGAGAGAGTGGCAACTGGAACTGTTGCACTTCTCTGCAAAGTTCTATATGTTGAAACCAGTCAGTCAGAGTGTTAACAGAAGTTATATTCTATTCTATTGCTAACCGTTAGAACAGAACAATAAATGGTTCCTATGTAAACTGATTATCTTTATAATAGGTGCGTTATTGGTTAGTCGAAACACGTGTTTCATGTACTATACTGTGGTAAGTTGTTCGTTGTGTAAACTAACTATTTAAGTGGCTATAGTTTCTGGTCATTCTTCCTCCTTTCCCAAAGGAACATATCGAGGCTGTTTAAGTGATTAATGCTGTATTGTCATGTGTTGGAGTATTGTACGTGAGAATAAGCAACACCGGTATTCCTAGTTCCCCATTAATTAGTCAGTAGGAACACACGAATCAAGTATTATCCGTTTATCACTGATGATGGATATTAACTGACAGTGTAATCCTTGATTAGCTTATATGGAGTAACTATTACCCCGATGTCTAGGAGAGGCAGATGTTTGTTTTCCGTTATTATATTTTTCCCGTCAAAGTATTCACCTACTGTGCTCTGACATTAAAATTGTTAAAATTCTCTTTCACTTTCATTCATTCATTTACTCAATAACAATAAAGGCATGAAATTGTCTTGTGATCAGTGTGGAAGGCAATTTTGCAATAAATTCCATTTGAATGAACACGTTCGAGTTGTTCATGAAGGTTAGTCAGTTATTTTTCTTCTCCTTTTTTTTGTTTATCTCCTTCAGAGTATTTATTGATTAGTTTAGCCTGTCACCCTCTCTCTCTCTCTGTGTCTTTCTCTGCACTTATAATAACATCCTGTGTTGTATTCAAAGACGTATATGAGCGCCTCTGTCACAGTTGAGTTCATTTTCATAGTTGATACTTATCGTTAGAGGTTTTTCTATCTCGTATGGGCTTCATTTAGAGAATCAGGAGGTGCTGGATAATGTTTCGCCCCAGTTTCGTACTCTTCATCGGTACATACGATGCATTGGGATAAGTACATATCTTGAGGAATATGGTAGTGTATGCATCAGATTTTATTTTGATAAATCACTCAGTGTTATACGGTAATATTAACTGATGACGTTTCGAGCACAAACTATTGCCACTCATAATTATATCGAGTTACACAACATTTTTCCTTCATTTATATACATGTGTGGAATTGACTAGATATTGGATTAAAATCAATGAGAGATAATGTGCATTCAGAAAAACAATGCCATTGGGAATCGAACCGATAACCTTCAGGTTACAAGGCGAGTCGCATGGCGATTCTAAAACCTAGAATCGAGAATCTAATCTCTGTCCGATCCATGGATTTGTCTTCACATCTGAAGTGGTGGACTCAAATGGGCGGGAATTCTCACTAAAATCTGAGGCAGTGTCATCACAAGCCAGTGCTTCAAAATAGTCTTTGTAGGGATCATGATTCAACAACTATCAACTCAAAATTGTTGTAAGGTGGTACTCTTAACAGAATAAAATGACAATCAACGGTTATATGTTAACGGTATTCGTGGTAACTGCTTGAAGGAAACAACTGACTTAACGATGCAGCTTCCTAGGATATAGTGCTCCAAACGACTGACCATTCACCTTAGCATATAGTTCTATCGGAATTCGCATTTTATAAGGTCAGAATAAGTCATAATCTTAACCACGAATGTAAAGAAGAAAAACGTTTTTTAGGAGGTGGGAACCACAAAACTGCATTAAATGGAGCGGTTTCTGCGTCAGTAGGACATCGGTAATTTCGGTTTCTCTGTCATGCCTTGCATATTAGTTGGTAAATATCCTTTTACCATCCATTCCGGCATTCTCTCCTTCTCTCTCTCTCTCTCGTTAGAATTATGTGATACGTATGTGTCTTACCTTGAAGGACTAATCGATAATTCTAAGAACTTTTTTCTTTAAATTTGCCTTTTTGCATAGCCTTGTGAAAGACACGCTTTCAAATTCTGGTCTTAAATTATCGTTTACAGGTTTATCGTTTAAATGTGACATTTGTGGCAATGGATTTGTAAAAATGGCTAGCCTAAGGGAACATGTGAATAATAAACATAGAGGTTCGTTTATTTCTTATTTCGAAAGTTTTATTTATGTTTCTTTATTCATCGAAGAATAATGTTAAATTATTATCTGTTATTATAAAGGACAGTTATTCAAAAATATTTTGCTTTACAGTGAAAAATGTATTGGTTATTGACTAAGCATAACTTCATTCGACTTCTCGTATTAGGTGGTGATTTTTTTCAGTCAAGTAGCTAGTTAGTTGGAATTCGGGTTTCCTTATGATGGATTGTTACTGAGTTGTGTGTATGTGTGTGTCGGAGGCGGGAGGGGGGGGTTGTCTACCTCCACTAGAATGCGCCTCCAAAGACAACACTATAAGCAACTGAACAAATAAGTAGTCAACATGCTCCACCAACGACTTCACTCCCTATTTCTAAGCTAGAAGTCAATGTAGTCCAGTCCTGTGGAAGATCGAATACCAATCTTGATTCTGGGTGCACATTAGTTGATACAATCAATATATATAACGTGTTTCAGTTTGTTTGGTGACTATGTTGACCAACGAAATGCAGAGAAAAAAATGCCACCTTCAAGTTTACCCTCACAATTATCCTGGTCGTAAACGCGACATTTTTTCGTCAACAGAATTGCTGAGAATTTCTTTAAGACACTTCACTACAGTTTTTGTAGGCAGTATGCAAGTCTCCACGAAGCGGATAAATCTCCCTGTCGTTGGATTTCTTCATCAAAATAGAAAATGACGTGGATTTCAAGTCGAAATGGAAGACTTCTTCGCATTAATGGTCACTTTTCGTTAATCACTTACTTTGTGGTCAGTGCTGATAACTGCTACCTTGTCGTAGTATTATTATTATTATTGTATCCTTTAGTTCCTAGAGGAACATAGGGCTTCAGCTGCGCACCTCCATTGCCTTCGGTTTTCTGACAACTTTTTCACCCTGCTCCAGGTCTGTCCACATGCTTTCATCTCCTCCTCGCATGACCTCCTCCAAGTCACCCTTGGACGACCAACTCGCCGCCTCCCTTTCGGGTTCCACTCGAGGGCTTGTCTAGTGATGTCACTTGATGGTTTCCTCAGCGTATGGCCAATCCATCTCCATTTCTTTCTGCCTATTTGTTTCACAATCGGTTCCTGATTGGTTCGCTCCCAGAGATCCCTGTTGCTGATCTTTTCTGGCCATCTGATCTTGAGTATTGAGCGGAGACAGTTGTTAATGAAGGTTTGAAGTTTGTTTGAGATGCTCTTTATGACTCGCCAAGTCTCTGATCCGTATAGTAGCACTGACTTCACATTGGAGTTGAAAATCCGGATCTTATTTTTGATGCTGAGTGCTGTTGACCTCCACACAGATTTGAGAGTAATGAAAGCTTGTCTTGCTTTTCCGATTCTGGCTTTGATGTCCTCGTCAGTTCCGCCTGTAGTTGAGACGATGCTTCCCAGGTAGGTGAAGGAGGTTGTTTCTTTCAGGTTCTTCCCATTTATGCTTATTGTTGTCTGTTGTTGTTGTTGCTTTGATGTTGGCTAGGAATCTTCATCATCTCTGTTTTATCTATGTTCACGTGAAGTCCTATCTTTGATGCTTCTTCTGCCAACTTGTTACTTTTCACTTGCATATCTTCCAGTTTATGGGAAATCAGACATATATCATCGGCGAAATCCAGATCCTCCAAGTCTTTTGTGTCAGTCCATTTTATGCCTGTTCCCTCGTTGGTTGCCGTTGTCTGTCGCATTATCCAATCAATTGCAATCAGGAAGATCATTGGTGATAGTAGACAGCCTTGCCTCACTCCCGTCCTCACTTCGAAGGCTTCCGTAAGTTTCCCGTTGTGGATTACTTGGCATGCAGCATTGTCGTATAACTGTTGGATGAGGTGTATAATTGTCGATGGGACCCCGTAGTAGCGAAGTAGTTTCCAAATGACCTCTCGATCGACGCTGTCGAAGGCCTTTTCAAAGTCGATGAAGTTGAGATAGAGAGGTGACTGCCATTCCAAGCTTTGTTCAATGATGATCCGTAGAGTGGCGATTTGATCAATACATGATTTGTTTCTCCTGAATCCAGCCTGTTCCGGACGAAGTTTTTCATCTAGGGCTTGTTTGATTCTCTCCAGGATGATGCGACTTAGTATCTTGCTTGGAATGGACAGAAGCATAATTCCACGCCAGTTTTTACATTGACTTAAGTCTCCTTTCTTTGGAAGTTTGAATAAGTAACTGTTCTTCCAATCCTCGGGTACTTTGCCCTCTTTCCACACCTTCTCCAGCAGTGGTGTCATCAAGTCCGCTGTTGTCTCTGGGTCTATTTTCAAAGCCTCTGCTGGGATTCCATCTGGTCCCGGTGTTTTCCCAGCTTTTAGCATCTTGATTGCATTCAGGACTTCTGATTTCGTCGGGGGGTCAGTGTTCACTGGTAGTTCTGCTTCCGTTGTTGGTATTGCTGGACGTGTTGTAGGTGGCGGACGATTTAGAAGTCTTTTGAAGTGTTCAACCCAGTGCTTTCTCTGTTCCACCTCTTTGGTGATTGACTTTCCATTGTCGTCCTTTATTGGCTTAATCTGTGTCGAACGTTTGCCCGAAAGGTTCCTAGTTGTTTGGTAGAGTGTGGCGAGGTCTCCTTTGCCTGCAGCTTGTTCTGCTTCGTTTGCCATGGTTTCATAATATTTTCTTTTGTCTTCCCTGGCACTTTTCTTCACTCTTTTGTTCAGTGTATTGTAGCTTGCATTCAGCTCCTGTTTTTGTTGCTCGTCAGTGCACTGGATAATCTTTTGCTTCACTGTCCTTCTCTCTTCTATTAGTTTCCAAGTGTCCGTAGTGAGCCACTGTTTGTCCTGTCTCTTTTTTCTGCCTAGAATTTCTATGCAGGTTTGGCTCCACACCGTTTTCAAGTTGTTCCAGTGCTTTTCAACGCCGACCTCTTCGCTGGTGTTGATTTGTGTCTCGGCTTTGTCCTTTATGCTTGCAATGAAGATGTCCTTTGTAGCCTGGTCCTTCAGCTTTTGAGTGTTGAACTTGGCTTGTGGTCTATCTGCAGCTCCTGATTCCCTGAAAGCTTTTAATTTGATTTGGATTGTCCCTTGTACGAGATAGTGGTCTGAGCCAACGTCTGCTCCTCTTCTTGCTTTTGTGTCCAGTAGGCTGCGCCTCCACTTCCTTGAGATTGAGATGAAGTCGATTTGGTTTTTGGTTTGCCCGTCTGGTGACACCCATGTAGCCTTGTGGATATCTTTGTGCTTGTATACACTGCCACCAATCACCAGTTCGTTGAAGGCGCAGAAGTCGGCGAAGAGTTCTCCGTTTTCATTCATTTCTCCTAGAGCTTCTCTACCCATGATGAGTTCCCTTCCCGTATTGTCTGGTCCCAGTTTGGCGTTCATGTCTCCCATTAGTATTTTCATGTCGCCAGCTGGAGTATTGTCCATTGTTGCCTGTAGTTGCCTGTAGAATTCTTCTTTCTTCTCGAGGTCTGCGTTGTTTGTGGGTGCATAACATTGTATGATTGACACTTTCCTTCCTTTGGAGTTGAACCTGGCGGTCATTATCCTGGACGAAATCGCCTCCCATTGTATCAGGGCTTTCGTTGCCGTTGGTGACATCATGATAGCCACGCCCTCGGTGTGCGTGTGGTTATCTTCTGGGTGACCGGAGTAGATCACTGACTCACCTGTTGACAATTTGGTGAGTCCACTCCCATTCCATCTGCTCTCACATATTCCCAGCACTTGTATTCCGTATCTTTTCATCTCGTTGGCGATCTGGGCAGCTTTCCAGTCTCGTACATAGTTCGGACGTTCCATGTTCCTACACAGACTTTTTCTTTTGGTGCAAGAGGTTCATTCTGAAGTTCTGTAGCAATTTGTTTACAGGGTGGGGTTGCTAGCCTCACGCCTGAGAAAAGAATGATTACATTAAGTAAAAGTTTAGAGAGAAGCAACTTTTTGGGTTGCTCCCCTCAAAATCAGAAAATAACGGACAAACAATGAGAACAACATCAACAAAGGAAACAGTTCACAGAAAAAAGGGCAAAAAGCGACGACAACTATACAATAAGACAACATGCAATATAGTTCAGTACAGTTAACTAAAATGATATCTTAACCATAAACTCACTGACTTGGAGCAACTTGAACATATAAATCCAACAATATATACAATTATAGATGTGTTTATGTTTAAAAATTCCACAAATCCAAAAGTTAGTTATATGTATTATCTGTCAATAAGATTGTATTTTTTGGATTCAGTGTTCGAAAGGTTAATAATTGTGATAGTTTCCGCAGACTCTTGGCATAAAATTTTACAGAAATTAGAGTTTTATTATAACCTTGTCGTAGTGGTCGGGCTTGAATACCGTAATGACCCAACATGCTGAACTGACTGGGACTCTATCCCTGCAGGTCCTACCATGTCAGGAAGGTTTTTGGATAGCGGTTAAACTAAAATCAGTTAACATGGGCTCCAGCATCCAATCGGATCAAATGGTGTATGAATCCATAATGGTCGCCGGCAACCATGGGAATGCAGCTCGTGACGCTGCTCCGCTGCCTTGCGGATTAGACTTCAAGTCAAAGGCTCGGGGGTGGTCCCTTAATAAAACCACCTGTTTCGGTCTGGGCGCCCGGGAAGTATCCCAGCCCTCACACAATGAATCAAATGAAGCAACAAAGAATCAATGAAACTTATCGCGTGTTATTACACAATGATTCCAAGTAATATCGATGCCTCCAGTTACTTATGTCCTTCCTACCTTACTTTTATTTCCTGTATTTTACCTTTGCTAAACTTGACTTCTTAACCTTCGCCTTTGTGTAGATTCCCAGCCTATCTGTGTCTTTTCGAGATTTTAGTGAGTAATCCCCAAAATGGTTGTCCCCAATGTGACATCTAACACAGATATCCTGAAACCGCGTTCAAGCTGGCCACCTACAATGTTTGGACGCCGATGCAAATTGGACAACAGGCAGAGTTGGTAAGAACTTTGGAAAGCCTCGCTATCGATGTCTGCTGCATTTTGAAGACCCGCATTCAAGATCGCAGTGAAGTGCTTCGACTATCCTCTCCATCTGGAAGTTCTAGCCGTATGTACAACCTGCACTTATCTGGGGACCCTGTGGCGTCGGCATCCGGCGTAGCTGGTGTCGCACTGAGCACTAGAGCCGAAGCTGCATTGCTCGACTGGATTCCCATTCACAGTCGTTTATGTGCAGTGAGGCTGAAAGGTTATACCAAAGTAAGGAGTAGTAGGCCAGATAGGCGGTGTCTATTTGTTGTCTCTGCCTATGCACCGACGGATTGCAGCCCGGATGCAATGAAGGATGAGTTCTACTACCAACTGAGCGATCTCTTGAAACAGGCGGGTCGGAGGGATATCGTAGTGCTGGCTGGGGACTTGAATGCACAGGTGGGGCGTCTAAGCTCAGAGGAGAATCGTCTAGGTGGTCAGTGGGGACTACATGGTCGCAGGTCAGATAATGGGGACCGTCTTCTGCAGCTTTGCGCGGATCACAACCTATTTCTAGCTAGCACCAACTTCCGGCACAGCCATCGCCGTAGCGCTACCTGGCGTCCTCCCTCTGCGAAGCAAGCTTGGACTCAGATTGATCATATCGCGGTCAGTTTCCGGTGGCGAGGATGCATACAAGACTGTCGCTCCTTCTGGAGCACATGCCTGGACTCCGATCATGCGTTAGTGTGTGCCAAGTTCGTCTTGCGATTTGGTGGGGTTCATAAAAGCCGTCGTCTAAGCGTTGATGTGAGCAAACTAGTAGCACCTGCTACTTCTTTGAAATATCAGAATGAGTTAAAAACAATGCTTGCCAGCAACCCCCCAAGTAGTATAGATGAACATTGGCTTCATGTGCAAGGTGCCATGCAAAGGGCGAGTGTAGCCGCTTGCGGCTTGAAAGAATGCTCCGCTAAAAACCACTGGGTTTCTGCGAGTTCCTTGCAACTCATGGATGAACGCCGGTCCATTCCGGCTGGCAGCGAATACAACAATCAGCGAAAGGCGCTCACGCGCAAGATTAGACAGTGTTTACGTAAGGACCGCGAAGCCTGGTGGTCAGAACGTGCGTGTGAGATGGAGTCAGCTGCTGCATCTGGCAACAGTCGGAAGCTGTTCCAACTCATACGAGCCACCGGCAGCAAGAAACAAGGTGTCAGCGAGACGGTCTGTGAGGCAGATGGCACTCCAATTACCAGCTTGAAAAGACGCCTGGAACGCTGGGCAGAGCACTTCGGGAAACAGTTTAGCTGGCCACCAGCTTCAGTGTCTACTGTCATTAGCCCCAGTGCTCCTTGGTCGGTTAGTACCGACCCACCCACCGAAGCGGAGGTCCGTAAGGAACTCCAAGTGTTGAAACGCCATAAGGCGCCCGGCCCAGACAATTTACCCCCGGCTCTTTTTAAAGATGGTGGCGAGACTCTCACAATGGCTCTAACTGGGTTGTTCAGGAAGGTGTGGGAGACAGAGAGTGTACCATCAATGTGGAACGAAGCCATTATCGTCCCCATCTTTAAAAAGGGTCGACGTAATTCGTGTGACAATCATAGGGGTATCAGTCTGTTACCAGTCGCGTCTAAAATATTGGCTGCTGTCTTGCTTCGCAGACTGTGCAAAATACGTGAGGGATTGATTCGCGAAGAGCAGGCTGGGTTTCGTTCAGGTCGTGGATGCATTGATCATGTGTTCACCCTTCGTCAGTTGTTGGAACACCGCCACACGTATTGCAGGCCAACGATCGTTGTGTTTCTTGATATTAGGGCTGCCTTCGATTCGTTGGACAGAACTGTGCTCTGGAACTGTCTGTTAGAGAGAGGTGTACCTGAGAAATTTGTTAACATCTTGAAAGCCCTATACAGAAACACCTCAGGTAGAGTAAGGGCATACAACCAACTATCATCACTGTTCCCAACCAACAGTGGGGTTAGACAGGGTTGCCCAATCTCTCCATTTCTCTTTAACTTTGCCGTTGATGACATTCTGGAGTCGGCTCTGAAGGATGTGCGTGAAGGTGGTGTAGATCTGCTACCTGGAGATAGACTTTTCGACCTCGAGTATGTAGACGACATCGTCTTACTGTGCGATGGCATACCGGCTGCCCGAATCGCATTTAATCAGTTGGCGATCAGTGTCTGTAAGTATGGTATGTGCTTTGCGCCGTCTAAGTGCAAAGTACTGTTACAAGATTGGCAGGAGCCTGTACCTGCACTCACTCTTGCGAGTGAACCGCTTGAAGTTGTTGATAACTTTGTGTATCTGGGTAGTTATGTGAGTGCTGGCGGAGGGGTGACGAATGAGATTTCCAACTGTATAATGAAGGCTAGGGTGGCATACATCAACTTGAGCCACCTATGGCGTCGTCGCAATGTTAGCCTGGCTGTCAAAGGTCGGGTATACAATGCTTCGGTGCGGGCTGCCCTCCTTTACGCCTGTGGAACCTGGCCTCTCCTAGTAGGCTGAGGATGTGCGGTGAGTCCGCGTATTCGATCGTCGCTGTCTCCGCAGGATTGCTTGCGTCCGATGGATGGCATCATCGCGTGAGTAATTCTGAGGTTCGGCGGCGTGTGTTTGAACACAGTGGATATCACCATTCATTGAGTGTCTGGTCATCCGAAAACACCGGCTCCGGGGGCTCGGACATGTGCTGGGAATGTCATCCCAGAGGCTTCCGTACAGGTCTCTGTTCGCCAACCAACCCTGGGACGGGATGGAAAAGGCGGAGAGGTGGTCAGTCCACGACGTGGCGTCCTGGGATGAAGGATTTTTGTGCTAGATTAGGATCGGTTGGTGTGTCACGACTCCCTGGTTGGGGTCCGAGAGAAAGCTCAAATCAATGGCTCGAAACGTTATCGGATATGGCCAAGAATCGTAATCAATGGCGAACGTGTTGCAATTTCCTTCTTTCTTCCCTTCCCGATGATAGTTAACGAATACTTTTTGAACTTGTTAAGCATGACTGTTTTCCTTCCAAATGAAGTTCTTTATCCGTTCTCTACTTATAGATATATACATATATTTTCTCTCCTTTTTTTCTTTTGATCTATGTTGTTTTATTATTATTGTGTGGCGCATCCTTCTTGGTGCCATATTGTACCAAGTTTTATCTGCGTTTAAATAAATAAGTAATAGCTACTACTGCAACTATGGCCTATTGTGGAACCTATGAATTCGTAAATTTAAGTAAAATAAATAAATAATGTCTGCTAGCCAAAATTGGTAGCCTACGTCAATATTTACGTCCCAGATCTTGGCCATGAAAAAAACACGAACAAAGACTAACTCAACAACTAATAACAGCAGGCTTTGCTTGGGCGGATGCGATTCACAGATATATTGTCTGACCTAGAAAGAAGCGGTCGCAAGGAGATGACAGAATAACCTTCAGCGAGGAAACAACCAATCGGAAGACGCTGTTTCTCTGCTAATAGTAACAAATAATAAGGCCAGAATTCTAACCTCTGGCTTGTAAATTACTAATAATCCAAAGATCTATCAAGTGACCTTTGGAACCCTGACTGATGTCATTGCACTAACCACAAGTGGTAAGCCCAGCTGTGTGTGTGTGTAATCGATAATACCCTTACTGTATTTATTGATTATCACATTACCACTTATTTATTGTTATTTTATTCTTTATTTCAACAGGAATGGAATTTACATGTGAATTATGCAATAAAAAATTCTCATCAAGAACTGCACGTAATCGACACATTCAAACTATTCATGAAGGTGCTTTTGATTGACTATTTTTTAAATTTGTTTATCAAACACTTTTTCTAGATATGATTCTATGTATATGTAAACAGCGTCCATATGACATTATAATTGGGCGAAGTAGAGAGCACTAGCGAAAAGAAGCGAATCTGTTTGAATGCATCGGTAAAATTCAGTGCTACAACTGGCACCTATTTAACGTTAACTACCACAGATGAAATTAGATAGTCAGAGCCTGGTGGTACCTTTCCATTGACTGAGAATTCTTCTAAGTTCGGAATGATAATAAACCCCATTAAGACGGGTGATGTAGGTTGGGTCTCAGTGACCGAATGGTCTACGAGCTCGCCTTGTAGCTGGAAGGTTCTGGGTTCGAAGCGGGATTGGGGGATAGGTGAGTGCGTACTTCTGGTGAGTTTGAAAATAGGCTGACAAAACAGCTGTCCAGTAGTTGAAGGCTTGTTTTCAATAATGGTTCTCGAACTGATATCAATCCGTGAACAAACCTGAAACAAATCAATATCCCTTCAAATGTCTTTTCTTGTAATCATGTTTTTTCAGTTTGAAATAACTGTATTATGCCTTGATTGAGGACTCCTTTGAATTGGGTTGTTTTGAGTTTGGGAAGACTTCTTTTCAAGTTAATTCCCGTATTGATGTTAGTTATGGAATCATGGAAAATGACAATGTAGTAGACAGTTGTTTTCTCATGGTTTGAGGCTCTTCAGTTTTCAGTGTGCACCCATGGTCATCCGTTCAGGCTTTCATTTTGTCAGGGGAATTCGTTCACGCGTCATCGACTGTCGTTGAATGCCATCATGATGAGTTCTAACTCTTGTCGGTTTGTGATGTATACCATCACCGAGCTGTTGAATCACATAGGTGAAAATGTCTTTCTTAAACTCGAGTGATTTCATCCATGATTCAGTCACCAATGTGCATTACATTAACTCTTGAATGATGTAATAGGCAACAGGTAAGAAGAGATACCATAGCCAAATGACCTTTAACCAGCCAATCATGTAGTGTCCGATAAAAGGTGGTATTTATAGTATAAGAATATTGTTTAGTGGATATATATATGAAGAAAATGAAAGGGTATGTGTCTCTAATATGCTGCAAAAGGTGGCCTTAGTTTTCCATATGAGCGACTATGCTAAACAGACCAAAATCTATATGAGTGCCAGTTATGAGATCCACTGATAACGATAGTCCCAGTGCTCAGTATTTCGAATAGATGTTACTCATAATCATCGTCACAAGTTTAACACTAACCTTAGCCAATAGCCCAACCCTGAGTTAACACTACCCTAATCCCCTGAATCAGAGTGAAACTTGCAGTGAAGATAATGAAACGCGTTAAATTGTAGTTCTGAGTGATGTGATTGGTTGGTTCGAGGTCATTTGACTGTGGTATGGCACCAATCGTATCGCTTCAAATCAACATTTAAAGACTGCTTTTATTCATCTACATTACTTCAGCACATTGTTGGTTGGTTAGTAATAACTAAGGACTCAAGAACATGTAGAGAAGACGGACTGAAATGGCAGTGATTATTCCTCCAGGAGAAAGTAGAAATGACCGAGAATCTGCAGTTCTTTTGAATTGCCAGTAATTAACATTTTTAGTGTATACGAGCTGTGTTATGGCTCATCAGCAAAGTAACAATTAAGATTCTCTGATTCAGATGAGGACCGAAATTTCAGTCCACGGTTTTTTACATGGATCATTGGAATCCATGATGTACATTTCGTCCTATTCGGGAATCGTCAACCTGTGACCGACCATTTTGGACCAAACATTCGAAGAGAAAATCTAAATCAAATAATTAACAAGACTCGTCGTACAAGAGTTTGGTCTTCGTGGCCCAAGTGGTCTAGTGAATAAAAATTCGGTGTTTGAGACTATTGGCGCTGTATATGGGCCTCAGGGGGAACGCCATCACTCACTGGAGAATGCAGGTCCATCCAGTTGACGAGTCAGTCGCCAATTAGGACGGATTGTGCGTTATCCTGGATTCCACTGCTGGACACTATCAACCAATTGACTTCAAGTTGCATGACCAGACATCGTCTAGTCATCTGCACAAGGAGCCGTCATTTCAACCTGAGACCGAGCACTTCGATCCAGTCAATCGATGGAGAAATCTAAATTGAATTCAATGATAAACACTGCTTAGTGGTATATATCTCCTCTTCGTTATGACACAGTTATTCTATTCACCCTCTATTTGAATATTAATACTATTGTTGTTATAAATGTTCTTCTGTTTTCGAAAACTGTTCATTAGGCAAGAAGTTTTCTTGTGATCAGTGTGAAAGAAAGTTCGATGGTAAATCTCATCTCAGAGAACATATTCAAGTTGTTCATGAAGGTAACTACCACCTCTATTTCGTTTTGTTTCTTTCTCCTTTTTGACATTTACATTAATTTTTAAAACAAGCGAATGTGATGGATCACATGTGTGTGTGTACCGAGTATAATCGGTTTCCTCATCATTCATGTGTGCAGTCTTCTTCATCAGGTAGGTGAGTTTCACCAAGTACTACTAACGCGTCTTTGAATTGTTGCTATTTTATGGTTGGATGCCTTCAAATGGAAGTCTTCTGCGTTTCGTGTTTCTTCTCACTCGACAGCAAAGCGTATCTGCAATATTGAAGAAACTCATGTCCATTATGAGATTTGAATGTATTGCACCGTGCGCTGCAGTCAAAGATGTTATTACTGGGCTATTCAAGCTGGAGATTGACCTCGTCTAGGAGTGTATTGGATATTTTCAGTTAGACATTAGTTAGTAACTACTACCATGCGTCTAGTGACATGGGTTCGAATCTCAGTAAAGGATATGAGTTCTTTCAATATATACATATATATAAATTTACACTATAACTGAAAGAATCAATAGTTTCAAATCTCGCGCTACGTCCATTAATTTAAAAATTTAAACAAACTTAACACATGAACATTTTGAATAATTTAGAACTGCATCGTATACATTCCATTAGTGATTATTATTATTGTTATTTTTTTATACAGGATTACCATTTAGATGTGATATATGCGGACGTCCATTCACTAAAGCAGCCAGTGTAAGAGGACATAAAAAGTCTGTGCATAATGGTATGTATATTTGTTTTGTTTGTTTTTGTCGTTTTCATGATGATATGCATTGTGTGTTTCTGTTAGACAGAGTGATTATCTTCTGTGTAAGTTCCTGTCAAAAGCATTGATCGTTTTTCTGAAAGTTGTTTTTGACCCTAGTTGAGGATATCAGTTTCAAAATTTGAAGTTTCACTAGTAACGGGGATATTTTCCACGCGGTGGAGTCGCCAGTCTCACGTCCAACCCGCGTCTGCTTGTCACCGGGCTTAACGAGGTTTAGGAGTGAGTTGGCTGAGGATCGAACCTTGGACTAGACCACGCGAAGTGTCGTTGGTGAGTGTTCCACTAGTGAACCATTGACTCACACTATATCACTGGTTAATGATTATTAACCTCAATCAATTTAAGTAGGGGAATTAAGGCTGTATTAGATTGTGTATTTTTGAATGTTAGTCAATTTGTGCCTTGAAATATTTGAAACTTTGAAGTATTTACTAGTTTTGATTATCTTTTCTAACGGGGAAGGTACTAACTGCGTGGGTGGGTGTAAATCCCCAACTGGGCTGTTATCTATCTCATCTTCGATAGATTGACTCAAACTCTTTATATCGATCCAAATGAATTCTTCCTCCTTATGGTTTGTTTGAGATAACCTTTCTAATAGCTATATAAAAGCAGTTATAATAACTTTTTTATACCAACAAAATCGAACTCATTCCTCATAAAACTTGGAACTATATAATGATGTTCATTTGAATGCATGTTTATATGTTCTTTTCAATGCAATGAATTGAATTTCTAAGCATTTTAACGACATTTCGTTACCGTTTTTAGCACATCTTTGATGTATTAAGAAGTTCCTAACTTTGGATTAAGGTGATCTCAACATCCAGTGGTTGTTTGGTGGTTCCTTTGTGGCCGAGCTCAGAAGCAGAAACAGTAGCTCAGTTTTAACGTCTCTGACTGATAACAGCACTAGGTGACGCGGGATGAAATCTCAGAAGGAGCATGAGTTCCTTCAAGGCGGTTGGAGATACGCCTTGCTGACTGATGAGTGGCAACAAGCACGAAACCTAGGTGAGGTAGGGCTTCTTGCTGACTGCCTCCAACTGTCTAGTATAGCATCATACAGCTATAGTTATTGTTTTAAATTATTGTTTCCTTTAGTACCTAGAGGAACATAGGGCTTCAGCCGCACGTCTCCATTGCGTTCGGTTCTCTGCTAACATTTTCACCTGGCTGTACGCCTGCTCATATGGTTCTTGGGTTGCTCCTTTTAGAATCAGGAAAACAAGGAATAAAGCAATCAGAACAACACCAGCGAAAGGAATAAAAAAGATCACAAGAGGAAAGGCAGTGACAATAAGAACAAAAAACCGTAGCAGTAGTATCACTGTCAAATACAGTTAACAAAAATGGTATCAAAACCGCACACTCAATGACTTGGGTCAACTTGGGCATGTAAACCCATTGATATATACAATTATAGATATTGGTTAGTGTTAAACGGTCACAAAATGCCAAACAGTTAGTTATAAGTATTGGTAGTCAACAAGATTGTATCCACAGGTTCAGTGTTCGAAGGTAAACGAATTACAATAAATACCACAACTTCTTGACCAGAAAAATGAAAGTTTTATGTAACTTGGCAAATGTCGCACATTAATCGGAAAGCGCGTCAAGTTTTCTTTCGTTTTTATTGCTATTCACAGAATCCAATATTGTTCGAACCCCGGTGGGTGCGTACTGCTGAAGAGTCGCAAATTAGGACGAGGGGATGAGCTGTACAATATTCCCACGTTTTCCACGAGTTCTCCTAACAATTTCAGCTCATGATGAAATCCTGTAGCCAAATATTTGGTCTGCTAACGAAACTGCGGTGAACTTTTATCTAGACCCTCGTAATTTACAAATTGCGAATTCAATACAAACGTATCCACCGGTTGACTGTGTTCACAGATCACTAAATTTTGTTGTTGGTGTGTTGCGTGTGTGTGTCGAATCCTGAACTCAGATTTTGCCATTGTTAAGTTTAACAAACACCGACATTTATACTGTGAAGATTTCTCTCTGTAATAACTAAGACCATCAAGAGACAATTCAAAAGTTAGAATAGTAGATTCATTTGAGTTAGTATAAGGACTAAAAGACAGTAGAATAGACGAAGAGGAAATACTAGTCGCCTTTGGTGTAAACAGTCTATACTGAAAATACCCATTCAGATGGTCATGGATGCACTGAAAACGAGACTAGACGAGGATAATGACCTGAAAGACAGGACACGATTATTCGTAGAAGAGATCATAAAAGAGGTTGAATTCCGTCTCACAAGAACATATTTTAAATTTGAAGGAAGAATATACCAACAAAATGAAGGAGGAGTAGCCATGGGATTGCCCATCTCACCAATATTAGCTGACATATTCATGGATTTTCGCGAAAAGAATGCACCTAAACCATTCAGGTCGTCAATAAAATGTTGGTGGAGATATGTAGACGACAATACGTTAGTAATAATGACAGGGAACAATGTTGGGAAATTCTGCTTACACACATAAACAATCCTGTGAACTGAGTAGAATTCACAATATGGAAGTAGAGAATGAAATTGAGGAACTGGGTGTGTTAGACTGCAAAGTACAAAGAGTAACAGATGGTAGGTAGCATAAAAACGACGCTGTATAGAAAAAAACTACACATTATCACTCAGCCCCATGAACTCACGGTAAAACGAGGATTAATACAAGGTCTTGCAGATAGAATACGTAGACTAACAACAACAACAACAGAGAACCAGCGTAAAGAAATAAACGTCTTATTCACAGTGTTACTCGACAACAACTACCCAGACGAATTTATCATAAATAATATGAAAAAGAAGGTAAAACTTAGGAAGATGGCGAAAAGACTATCACAATACCGTACAAAAATGGTATATCAGAGATGATTGGAAGAAACCTCAGGAAAGTATGGGGATTCGCATCACGTTTAAACCAACGAATCTGATTAAAAATAAAATAAATCAACTGATAGATCCAATAAAAATGATGGATAAAAGTAGTAATGTAATTTACAAAATATCTTGTGTCGAGTGTCCGACTCAATGTGTGGGTTAAACGTTCAGATCACTGAAAATAAGAGTGAATGATGATGATGATGATAAACGCCTAACTAAAAGTCAACCAACAGGAAGGAACACAAGCTTACAAGAATTTAGAATAAAATTCATGTATAGCTGCACATGGATGGAACAAAAGCCACAGTATTAGTTGGAACTAACTTTCTCCACAAAACCTATGATTCGTGTGAACGTGAAGGATAAGCTACCACTCTTGGCCTCATCAATGTGTATTTACCAATTAACCTGCTCGTGTGGAGCCAGGTATGTTGGCCGTACCCAGCGTTCGCTTTCCAAGCGTATCACGGAACACTTACCAACATGGTTTTACAAAGGAGAAAAACGATTTCCCTGCAGCTCCATCTTAGAACATCTGATAAAATCCGGACACCAAGCTGCATCCCAAACGAACTTCGAAGTAGTCTACAGAGTAAGAGGTAGTCTTCCTAAAGTGTACGAATCAGACTTCCTCAAACTGCAGAAGCAATGGCGATTCACTTGCTAAGCCCTGAACTCTGCATATAGAAGTTCGTTCAATCACTGCACTTCTCGTTCCCCAGTGGACACAGGGCTTCAAGCTAGTGGCTTGAAGTTTCTGTAGCAGTGTCTATTTTACAGGATGGGGTTGTTAGCCTCATGCCCAACCTTTCCTCTTTACCAGAATTATTTCTGGCTTAGCGAGGTAAAGGAGTGCGTCGGTGGCCGGGGATCGAACCTCGGACCATGTACGTTGTCGGTGAGCGTCCTAACCGCTATACCACCGACGCACTGAAATTACAATAGTTATAGTTAATAACATTCCATACTTCAATGTTTGAAAAATAATATAGAAGACATTATAAGATGAACGTATCCGGAATATAAGTATTACAATTTATAGTTTAAGTGACCATCAATTTATATACTATCAAACTATGAAAAAACAAAATGGAAGCGGGGGGAGGAGTGAGAGAAGACAGAAAACAGAAAAATCTAATAAACAGTGTTAGGTTGTACGTCAACATGGCAACTCAAGGAAGTCAAAGTTCATCAGTTTGAAAACTTGCTTAGTGAGCTGAGCTCACTAGGGTGTATGACTAATCAGTGAAATGAAAGTATTGCGGTTACCAAGGAAGCGAGTGAGAGATTGACTACACTCTCTTTCTGTGTACATAAGTTTGGTCTGAGACGTTTGATTGCAATTGCTTCAGCAGTAAGTCGTAGTATATTCTCTGTCCTTTGTATGTTTAATATTCTCAAGGATTTGGAAATCTCTACAAAATGACCCGAGGTATCCACAAGGTTTCTGGTAATTGCATTTTGTAAATATATCTGCTTCTTTTTGAGCATTAGTTTCTTGGAATATGCTGTGAAAACCGTAAAGAAGCCTTTCTTTCTGTCCTTCCAATGTAATTGCTGGTGCAGGTGCACGTAAATTTATAAATGCAGTTGGAGGTAACATCAGCAGGGTACTTATCCACTTTCGATTGGCTTATAGAGCATGTAGTACTGTATAGTTTCACCAGATTGGCTGCAGGGAAGCATCTCTTTATTGCTCCTTTCATCCTCTTTTGAATCTTTTGCGATACTATCTCTCCTTTGTGTAAGATGCGAATGAACACTTTCTTCTTTTCAACTGTTGGATACTTCTCTTTCTTTGCTTTACTTAAGGATAAATCCTTGTGGATACCCGTTTTCCTTAAGGCATTTTTCAACAGAACTTTATTCTTCTTCTACCTTGTTAGGGTAACATAACTTTCTGTCCCTGTTGTACAGTGTCCTTACTAATCCCTGATGATAGCGATATCTGCTTGAATATATTTGCTGAGATTTCTTTCATTTTTGGTTGAAAAGATATACAATCCTCTGGTACTAATATTTCTTTACCCATACTGTTGTCTGTTTCTACCTTCTATTGTAGTGTAATTCAATCAGATCCTGTTATGACTGCTATTACCACTCACTGGACACTGGACGCTGACGTAATAATTTCGTAATGAATACACAAATGATTCCTTTTATTTACTAATCTCCTAATCAGGATGGAATAAAGGGAATGTTCAATATTAACCACTACCTACTTGATGTTTCTTTTTTATATTTTCTTTATATTGCCTCCCTAGGAATCTATCTCATGTTTTCTGTGTAAATATTCTCTTATTGTATTTGTAATCTGTGTATATATGAATGATGCTTTTTAGTGTTTTCTAATACAATTCACACTTATGCCCACTTGTTTGGTTTATTTTCTGTCTGTCTGTCTGTTTTTGAGATAGAACTTTGCACCGATGTGTTGCAGTTCAAGTCGCCACTCTCCCTCTTTGTAACACACAAAGCAAGAGAAGAAATGCATAATAGATACAGTAAACAGAGGTGTGAGACAGAGGAATAGTAATAACGAAGAACAATATAGTTTCATTGGAAATCATAAGTCACAAGGAGTGGATGCATCTGAACCGGCCAGCCATTGAGAACGATCACTTTGAGCCATATCACCAATTGTTTCCAAGCATTGGTTTTTACCGTCCTGAGGACCTCAACTAATCAGGAAGTCTATACCTTCCTACGTCACTGGCTTAAACTAACTGTCGTAGTTTTCATTGACTGGTGCCATGCAAACCAACCATGATAGTTGTGAAGCGGTTGTAAAGATACTACGAAATGACGATATCATCTCGGCAAATCGGTCTTCTAAATACCCTTATTCAAAGATAAATGCTGAATGAACCCAAAATCATTGGATAGTACAGTATAACATACGTTAAGGAGTTGGCATATTAATAGACCAGTTGTCATTTGATTCATGTAGCGGTTTAATCTGACTTCAAAAAAAGCCGTTAAAACTCATGTTAGCTGAACCCAAAAAAGGTGGAGTAACAACAAATGAATTTCTGATTTATATACAACAAAGAACCATATGAAATAATAGAAAAGATTTGTAACTCGAGTGGATGATTTGCAATTAATAGTGTCCTCTGAGCTGATTGGTTTAGTTGCGGAGCTTTCGTCGTCTTTCTGGACGACATCTTCAGTGCAGTATTTAGCATAAAGTTAAATGATTTAAAATCTCCATGAATGATGATACAATTGCGTCTCACAAAACAAACTGTGTGCAGACATTGTTTAGAAAAGTACAAACACATTACAGCACTCTAGAGTTGAGAAGAATGGAAGAAAAATACTTACAAACAGTCTTCAAGAAGAATGGTTATCCGAAACATTTCATCAAAAAGTGTTTAAAGTCGAATCAAAGCACCAACAAAGAACCGTCACCAAAGACCAAAAAGAAATTCATCGTACCATACATCAGAAATATCTCTGAAATAACGGCTAGAATAATGAAACCATTTGATATAGATGTAGCACACAAACCAGCCGAATAGTTTAATTCGATCTTATGCAAACCAAAAGATCCGATAGGAAAAGGTGATAAAATTAACACCATTTACAAAATAAATTGTATGAACTGTAACAAACATTACATCGGCCAAAGTGGGCGACCCCTTCGAATAAGATTCCAAGAACACAAATCAGCTGTGAAAAGAAATGATATAAATAAAAAGCAAATCAGCTGACTAGAAAGTTTAAAATCCCAATCAATAGAAAACGGTCAATACACATGTGAAGATGGTTGGTCACCAGGAGACGCAATTGTATCATCATTCATGGAGATTTTAAATCATTTGACTTTATGCTAAATACTGCGCTGTAGATATCGTCCAGAAAGACGACGAAAGCTCCGCAACTAAACCAACCAGCTCAGAGAGCACTAATATTTGCAAAAGAACCATTCGCTTAGATTGACTATATCCAATATCCCAAATTATTTTTCTTTGATTGTTTGACGCTACTTCCAATGCACTGTTGTGATTTTCAAGTGTAGAATGAGAGAATCTATTCCAATACCATAAACAGTCCCAGTAGGAGGATTTTTTTCTTGGATCCAGGATATTTGGGGGTGAAAATGTAGGCACTTTTCTGTTCTAGATTGGACAAAGTGGGAAAAAAGACGCCAACAATTTTTCAAAGACAGGGGTAATGTGGGAAAATATAAGAAACACTGGAAAAGTGGGAAGAAGTGTGAGATAACGCTCATGTGGAGCAAACAAACTTACAGCTTAACTCCATCAAGTGGAGCACATTACAGCAAGATTATGATACAGTCTCTTTTTTTATCCATTGGGGACTCGGACAAGTTAAACTTTAGACACCACTAACTACCTATGGAGTGCGACTGCACCAATGAATGACCTAGAATTGCTCACTGAGCAAGTTAGTGAAACTTGGCAAATCATGTTGTCATCATCAATAAAATATCCTCATCGAAGTGTTATATTAGTAAATGGGATATCTGGCAAGTTTCAGCTTAGGTTTGTGAAAGATTAAGTTACGCTTTAAGCCAAGGACAAGTTAGGATTAGGTTAACCTAAAATATGCGACATTAGAGTTGGTTCGAGTTAGATTACAGTTAGCTTAGGGATATTTTTACGTTGTAGTTAGGTTCAGGAAAGATTAGGGTTATGGTTAGGCTTAGATGACCCAAATAATTACATGCATAGAATGTGGTTAAACTACTCTGTTGATATATGAATACAACTTGTGCACTTCGGTGAAGCACAATTCCATTGCGATAAATTTGTTCTGATAAAGTCTCACAGTGTTATACAGTGATATTTATTGATGACAAAGTTTTGAGCACAACTTTTGTTCAGTATATTCTACTGTATAACACTATGAGACTTTATCAGAGAAAATATTACCCACAATGGAATTACACTACTCCGTTGTTACTCCGGCCTAAACCTGAGAGCTATTTTTATCACATATGACAGGAAGGTATCTTCTGTAACACTTTTCTACAGTTTTTATGCATTTTTTGATAAATATATACGTATTCCATAGATACTGGTGCGTTCGAGGTCATTCGCTGATTGGTAGTTGGTGGGTGGTGCTTAAAGTTTAACTTTGACGGGTAATTCGATGATGACGAAGTCTGACTGTTTCATTTCACTCAGTATGACACGTTCGCTTACGTCAAGGTTAACTTCTGAAGTCGTGATTTTAAATTCATCCTCGTGCATTCCTTGCGTGGTAAGTTATGTTTATTTTAAGTTTACTATAATGGAGACTGGGAGCGAATTATTATCAAGTTTTGGTGTTGGGAATCACCCTAGACACCTTAAACGTACTTTATTCCTTTTAATATACCCTTGTTCTTCAGTTTGGATAGAAGAAGATGCATGTCATCGATCCACAGTTTACAGGAGAAATAAAAGATGTAAGTTGCAAGTGCATGGAAAATATGCATGGTGATATGCAAATAACGTTAACCAAGTGGGCTTCTTAAATTCATTAATTGATGATTTATAAGGTGATAACTCTAGCGCCGCAGAATCTTGGGAGAAATCTTCCAATAGCACAACTTAAAAGAATTCGAATGCGAACCTTAAGGCAACAGCCTTGAAGATTATGATGACCATTAACGTTTCAATTGATGGTGATGAGAAGATAATACGACTGTTTAAACGGCGTCTTCCAAATTTATCGATGAATATAAGGCGCCTTCTGAAAACTAGCCAATCCTGGTAGTGATTCGCAAGCTGTACTTACGCCTATACTGAGTTGTTGGCGTCAGTTTGCATCGTTTTGCTAACATAAGCCTACAGTTGATGGATTATCACCGTTTAACAATGGTACACAGCAAGTTTCCCCGACACTGGGTAGACTTGTGAAACCGTTTCTCAGAGATATATTCCTTATTGGAGTTTATGATGCCAGTGGTCACTGACATAGTGCATTTATATGCATGCGCTCTGGATATTTTTAGCGGCCTGCTTAAATCTTGGGCTACCAATTACCTTAAACATTACAAATCATATTGCATCTAATTTCTCATTTCTAATTGATTTTTAATCACTAAATCTTATTCAGACATGACATCTAATCGGATTATTTATTCTCGTGACTATTTAATATCCTTAAAACCTATTGATCTGCAACTCCATAAAAAAGACAAGAAAAAGCATGCCGGCTGGCAGAGCTGTAAAAAATACCCCTATTCAATTCATGACCATTCCCGCAATTATGAGTACCAATTGTCGCTCCCTGCCGGCTAAAATTAACTGTCTTCAATCGCTGGTGTCTTCCATTATATATCGTAATACTGGGATTATATCACTTCAAGAAACATGGTTACACGTTCTATATGATGAAAATCTAGCATATTTAAATGATTTCAAATTGTACCGACAAGATCGGTGTAGTTCCAGGAAGAAACACGGTGGCGGTGTCGCCATCTTCATCAATTCACAATGGTGTACGTCTAATAATGTATGTTTCAAATTCTCTAGCGACAATATTGACTGTCTCACCGTTAAATGTCGACCTGAAAATTTGTCAAAATACAAATACATTTACATCTCGAACATTTATATTACTCCTGGATACAATTCCACTGAATCGTCTTTATTTGCGGATGAATTTACCTCCATTGCTGCCACCTCCTTCGGAAATTCCTTGTCTATAGTTACTGGAGATTTCAGTTCTAGTGATCACGGCTTCCTAATTTCACTTGGACACGATAATATTGTCAACTTCCCGAATAGAATGGATAACACCCTTGATCTTGTGCTTACAAATGACGCAGGAATATTTGAAGCTCGAAAAAGAGCCCCACTACTAAATTCAGATCACTGGATCATAAGAATATTGCCCAAAGTATATGGAAAGCAGCACAAAAGGGTCTTCCCACACCTTGGAAAGAAAACACAACACAATGTTATTCCCATGACAACCTACTGAATCTAAGGTTCATGTTAAAAGACACTAACTGGGACTTATTTACTGAACAAGCTCTTGATAACACAATTACCAACATAACAAATTATCTTAATTTCTGTCCTGATGTTTGTTGTCCAAAAGAGACA